AACAGTATTGCTATTTCTGCTTCCTCCCAGCATCATACATAGAATAAAGCCCAAAGTTCTTTCTTTCAGCCACAAAGCCCAGTAGGGTATGTCCCTGTCCTCTTTCTCTGCTCAGAGTCAGGGTAAGTGAGTAGTAAGGAGGGCACACAATTACAGTTCCAGGCCAGATGCAGACCCTCCTGGCTCCATGTGCCTTTTTTCTGTTCCTTAGCACACCAAGCTCATTCATACCTCAGACTTACATGTGGAAGGATTCCTTCTCTCCACCTGGAACTTTTTTCACTGTTTATCAGTTTATTTATAAATGGGGTTAAAACTTCAAAAACAAAAATTTGTACCACTGTCACACCTCAGACTTCAGACAGATGTCATTCAAGGAGAGGAGTAAAGTGATGTCAGATACACCACAACCCAGAAGGAACATAAATTACCCTCCAATAACTTAGAGTTGAAACTGTGACAAGTATTTTTGTGATGATTAACAGTCACATCATAATTCTCAGGATGTGAAAAGACGACAAGGAATTCATCAACAAAATAATGCAAGACAGTGTCCAAGAATTAAAGCACACAAACTTCCAGAATGGGAGGAGGCTTGATTTCTTAGCAGAAAAAAAAAAAATCAACGAAATTCTATCTACAGAATATAAGAATTTTTGGAAAGACAGTAAAACCCTCCAAGTGAAGGTTGGAGCAGGAAGAGGGCAGAGAGAGAAATAGGGAACAAGAAAAGATTAATACGCAGAAGACTTCACAGGGAGTTGAGATGACACTCTTAAGATGCCATCACAATCCTCAAGGAAAACATATTTCAACTGAAATAAACCAAGAACAGAGAGAACATACTCAGACATTTGAGATCTCAAAAAACCGTACTCCTTGTGGTCCTTTCTTGGCAATTTAATTAACAGAATATTCTACCAGAAGGGGAAGGGGAAAAGGAAAGGGAAAGAAACAGAAAGATAATACAGGAAGTCAAGCAGCAGGTGGCAGGGTGTGGCTCTAGACTGTGTATTAACCCCTGCTACCTCCAAACGTGACTTTATTTGAATACAGAGCCTTTAAATAAAGTGATAGGGTAGGGCATAGTCCAATGACTGGTATCCTTGTAAGAGGGACAAGACACCAGGAATACTGTGTGCACAGTGAAAAGGCCTTGTAAGGACACAGTGGGAAGGAGCCATCTGCAGCCCCAGTAGGGAAGGAAGCTTCAGAAAGATGACTAGTCTCACTCAGTCCTTGATCTAGAACTTCCAAGCTCCTTAACTGTGAGAAAATACACTTCTTTGGTGAGTGACACTGTCTGTGGTGTATGCTAGGGCAGCTCTCATAAATTAACCCAGGGTGCTGACTAACCTTTGAAAACAGTTCCAAAGCACACAGCAGGTACTCTGCTCCCATGCCTGTCCGGCCCAGGCTTTTCCCGGGATGGAAGAAACCACAGCGCCAGCCAGCCAATTCACCCTGGTGGAAACCACTGTACTGGCTGGAAAAAGCTACCAGTTCGGAGCAAGAAGAGCAAGGGCTCTATAAAGGAGGTCTTTCCTGGGAAAAAGAAAGGTTTCTACCAGACTATTGATCATGTGGAAAATTATACTGAGAGGTTGTGGATGGTAGGGAAGAACAGAAACAGGAATAAAGAAAATTAGGCAAATAAAAAATAAGAAAGTTAACTTTAAAATTAATAAAGAGGGGTTGGTGCTGTGGCATAATGGGTAAAGCATCACTGAGATACAGACATCATACTGTAGATCCAGCTTCCTGCTGATAACCCGGGGAAAGCAGTGGAAGATGGCCCAAATGTTTGGGCCCTTTCCACATACACGGGAGACCCAGAAGAAGCTCCTGGCTTTAACCAGGACCAAGTCCTGGTCACTGTGGTTATTTGGAGAGTGAAAGAGTGAATAGGAAATCTCTTAACTTTTCAAACAAACCACAACAATAAAAACCAAAACTAAGAATGAACACTATGTAGTCATTACAGTGCATTCTAACTAATGAAGCAATGCAGAACTGCGATGAGCCTATTCTAGGAAAGCAGGAGATCAAGTGCTGGGTCCTCCTTTCCATCACCACTGGAAACTAACAGGCACAATCTGAAATTGACAAACAAATGTATGCCTGTTTAGACATATTTAGAAGTGGGAAGGTCAGTATGAGAAGAAATTTCTTCTGGGGAACAGAATGAGAGAAGCAGCAGAGACTAAGGTGTTTCAGTAAGGGAAACCCTTTTTTGTCCTTTCCGATCTCTTAAAATCATGTGTACTTATTAGTTGATCAATGAATGATGCTTAAAAGAAATGAGTCCTACGTCATTTCTCTCTGTGCTCTAGAAAAGCTTACACTATCCACTCTTGGTCTGTTTTATTCCCCGTCTTTTCAACAAATCTGATGCAGCCATAGAGTAGGGACCATCAAGGGGATCTAGGCTAATCAGAAGGTTTTTACCCTTGGATTAAAAGCCATCTGGAAGAAGGAAAACAAGCAAGATGAACTCCTCTCCACAAGTGAAAGGTCAGCAGTGCCCAGGAGGACTTCTTTCATGTTTGCACAGAGATACGCAGGGCAAAGCCCTCAAAGACTGGAACACATCTCTCCACTCTATTGCTAGGAACTCTGTCTTTGAAAGAGCACCAAGCGGATCATTCCAACAGTCTGGAGAAAGGCCATCGTGTAAAAACTCCCTGGCACTTTACTTGGAGACTTCTACTTGCAAAAGCTTACTAATTAGGTGTGGTTTTGATTTTCAAAAGATTTGCTTTGTCAACACACACATATGTATGCACACAAAACGTACAGACTAACCCTGAATAAAATCAATCTTGTTGAGAATTTGTCTCTTGTCTGTTTTTAAACTAACTGTTAAGTGTGTGCGATGAAAAAGATTCCTCAGGCTCCTGAGAAAACAGCCGCCTGGGCTCAGCTCTTGGACTGGAGGTAGGACACTGGATAATCATAGCAATGTCTTCATGGGTCCAACACTCCACATGAGACTCAGGGAATACAGACACAGGATGTGGGCAAGGAAGGCTTATAAACTGGCACAGATGGGCACGTTCTTTCAGTCTTGTAATGCTTCCAGTGTCAACATCTTAGAAGAGTACCAGACTTGGCTACTTGTCCAGGCACAGGTCAAGTAAGACAGGGACTGTAAATAAAGTCATGATCACCCCAAAATGACTTACAAGTGTATCTCAAGAACTATCAAGACCCAATTTGACTGTCACTGGCAAGTAGTAGAAAACATCAGAAATTGAATCTACTTCTAAAAACACCTAGAAGAGTATTAAGAGCATCTCAGGGGACATAGGAATTAGAGATGTCAAATTCACCCTAACAGATGGAAAAAATTTCTTCTTAAAAATATTGACAGGCTAAAACAATCTTGCTTCTGTCAACTGAACTGAAAACATTTTGATGAAATAACATCTTAGTTTAAAATAGTTTCATTGGCACAAGACAACTCAGACTGGATTTCTTTGGCCAAATTAACTGTGATATTTGATTTACTTGCTTGGCAAATACAGTTAAAAATCAGCAAAGATATACTGTGCAGCTATCATCAAACCAATCCATGAAAACAAGGAGATACCACCCTCATTTAAAAGCTAAGTGAGAGTCAAGGTTGCAAAGTAGAAGTGACAGTCTTAAGCATACTCCAAAGCACACCGGCCAGTGTTAATGGTCACTACCACCGCTGCTTGACTACTTACTATACATTGGGCACAATGCCAACTACTTAAACAGCGCAGCCTCATGGTTAGTTAACACCTTGGACTCAAGTCAAGCTGCTGAGGTTAAAAAATGAGTTCTGCCACAAACTGTAAATTTGGCCAAGCTGTGAATCTCTTTGCCTCTGTTTCCTCATCTGTAGAATGGAGCTAATGATGGATTCCAGCTCATAGGATTGTGTGAGAATCAGATGAGTTATGGATATCAAGTCAGCTTGGCACACAGTGCTACCAAAGTGTCAGCTGTTGTTGATGTTAAAGCTAAGCAGCAGCCCAGAGCCAAATTCACACACCAGGACAAACTTTCCACTCTTACATTCTATGTGTACTAACACAGACTACCAAAACTAAATGATCAACAGTAACACAGTTTGATGGATCTGGAAGATAAACAGAACGCAAGACAAATGGATGAAAACCGAACAACCTGCCACAGACTCAGTTACTGGGGGCTGTACATTCAACAGTGGCCTAAGCACCACAGTGGGCCAGGAGATTTAGGCATTTCTTTCTTCTTTTCTTTTTTGGAAAAGACAAAACAGCCCATGGAAAGACAGATCTATCTATTGGCTCATTTCCCAAATGCCCTTAAAATTCACAGTTGGGTGAGGCTGAAGCCTGGATGCTGGAATGTAACCCAGGCCTCCTGTGTGGGCAGTAGGGATTCAAGCACGTGGGCCATCACCACCGTCTCCCAGGGTGCTCACTAGAAGGAAGCTGCAACTCAGAGGGAAGATGGATTTGAACCCCACAATTCTAACCCGTGATGTGGGCACCTGCCCTGTGACTAGGGCTGTAATACTGTCTCAGTAAACAATCCGCTCTGTACCCCACACTGGCCTCCGAACAGGCATGGTTGAACTTCCGACGTTCCTTCTAGTACTGACATCCTACGACCCACCAGAGCACACAGTGAAGATGCACCTTCCATCCAAAAACAAAACAGGGAATAGCATTTATTTCAATAACCACATGCATTTTAATAGGTACATTATGTAACAATCTATTCCTAATCATTATTTGGGGTATAGCAATTACAGTAGAATGAAAGAAAACAGCATAGGGAAGTGGTTTTATGACATCATTGCTGAAATATGAGCAAGACAATCTGAGAAATGAAGCAGGAATGATTTTGTTAATAATGTAATATTTTTTCAAACATGCTGCTTTTTCAAAGGGAGAATTTATACACTACTTCTTATACGTGTGCTCATACATACTTTAGTACACTGAGCTTTATAAAGAAGCCAAGCAAAGGCTACAACTCACCTTTCTGACCATGGCGACTGCTGAATTTATCCCCGATCTCTGGACGCCTCGTCTGTCTCAGCAGCATTTTGATCAGAAAAGCATCCTCGGCATTTGAAGATATCATCACTTTCTCAATATATGAATCTGTGGCCCCTTTGTAGCTAATTTTAAGAGAAAATTTTAAAAAATGGTTTTTATACTGCAGTCATGAATTAATCAACAACATGACATATTCTATTGAGTTGCTTCCTCCCCCCCCACCAATAATTCTGACATTCTTATCTGGAACACTGACAAATGCTGTCCATTTTAAACATGAAATTCAAACTTTACAACTTCTCTTCCACAGCCTTCTACATTTGGTCTAAGGTAGGCATACTGTAATCTAACCCTCCTGACAGCCCCCTCAGGTTATCCCCCCATTACCAAGAGACTAAATAATGTGTGCAAGGGCTCAGGACATAGAGTGGACTACGACTTGAGTTGAACTTGTCAGATCCAACTCAAAGGTCTTTTTTTTTAAGATTTTTACTTGTTTTTATTGGAAAGTCAGATCTACAGAGTAAAGAAAGGACATAGAAAGATCTTCTATCAGGTCCCAGAGCTGAGCCAATTTGAAGCCAGGAGCCAAGAGCTTCTTCTGGGTCTTCCACACGGGTGCAGGCTCCCAAGACTTTGGGCTGTCCTTGATTGCTTTCCCAGGCCACAAGCAGGGAGCTGGAAGGGAATACGACCTGGTGCCAATATGGGAGCCTAGCACATGCAAGGCGAGTACTTTATCTACTAGGCTACTGCACCAGGACCCCAACTTAAAAGTTCTTATCTACTTTTTAAGTAGCCCTTTGTTCTACTCAGCTTTTCCATGATTCATTATTTTTAAAGATTTATCTATTTAGCTAGGAGCTTCTTCAGGTCTCCCAGAGATGTGCAGGACCCGAGGCCTTGGGCCATCCTCTGCTTTCCCAGGCCATTAGCAGGAAGCTGGATGGGAAGTGAAGCAGCTGGGACTTGAACCAGCACCTATATGGGATGACAGTGCAGCAGGCAGAGGAATAGCCTGCCATGTCATCATGCTGGCCCAACTTCATGACTAATTTTAAAAAATATTTATGTATTTGAAAGTTAGAGTTATAGGGGAAGAGATCTTTCATCCATTGGTTCACTTCCCAGTGACGGGGCCAGGTCAAATACCAGGAACATGAATTTCATCTGGGTCTCCCCCATGGGTGGCAGGAACCCAAGTACTCAGGTGATGATGTGCTGCTTCCCAGGGTGCACACGAGCAGGAAGCTGGACTGGAAGCAGAGCAGCACCCTACTGTTTGCCTTCTTGCTCTTAAGAACTAAGAGCTGCCTCTTCAGCCTGGGGTTCAGAGCTTGGTTCCATCGTTTTGCATGCCTTGGCAAATAATTTCACCTCTACTTGCCTAAGTGTCCACATCTTTCTACAAGCTACTAACAGTTCATAGGCTAATGGCAGGATGAACTAATACATGCAAAAAAGCCCAGAACTGTCATAGTAGTAAGTACAGTGTAAATTCTCCACGAGGCTATCATGATCTGTGCTAGCTTTTTGTTTGTTTGTAATATCACAGCATGGGGTTTGTCCTGGTTCATCTCACTAAATTGCATACTTTATTATATTTTAGAACTGAGAAGGAATTTTTTTTTAAGAGATAAGCAACTCTCTCATTGTAGAGATGACAAAGGCCAACAGAGTTTGGTGTTTTATCCACGAGCTGGTACAATGCAGGCAATGCTTGAACGGGGCCACATTCCAGCATAGTGAAAATGTCAAACTACAGCCAGTGTGCTTTAATTTTTTAAAACACAAATCTGATCATGCTGTGCTTTTTAAATTTCTACAACTTAGTGCCACAAGATGCACTGAGCCTCTCAAATCCATGAACCTTCATGCCATGTGCCTTCACCTTGGTGTTTATTCTACCAGGAGCCCTTTCTGGTTCACACTTCAGACCGAGATTAAAAGGCTCTGTGATTTCACGATTCGGTTTTACCCTCTAGTCTAAATTGTTCTTAGGAACAAATTCTCGAAGTCCAAATGCTGCTGCTAGTTTTCTAGGCCCATGACCTGAATTCCAAATTCCCTCATGCTTTCTCTTTGTCTAACCTTTCCACTCCCAAGGCACTAACAATACATACGTGATGGGGACATCTTTGTACTGTGGCTGCCGTGGCACACTGCTCCCTTCCAGAGGGATCTGAGTCACAGTGGGCATGGATTTATTCACCAGTACTTGTTTATTTTCTACTTTCTCACCTAAGAGAGAAGAATGTTAGACATGGCCTCATAACTGCATGCCAAGATTACTGGGGCATTCCAGTCCAGGAAATACAGACACCAAAGGAAAAAAAAAAAAAAATCGGTTCACGCAGTTGGAACCAGAATTCAACCAGTTAAAATTTACATTAAAAACATTAGAAACTGATTTAGGGGGCCACCTCAATGAGCAACAACTTGGTAAGTAGCAATTTTAAGTCTCTCAGGCATTACAACAAGTTCATATCACTTATTCCTATTCATAGTTGTATCAATTAGTAAGAAGTCGATCTAACTTGGAGAATGAGAGGATAACTATTTCTTTGCTTTTCTCGTATTCCCACTGTGCTCAGCATCTTTTTGGTAAGATCTAAGACCAGCTTCTCACAGTACTGTCAGAGCATCTCCTTTCCAAGTTGCACTGACTGCTGCTGTTACGGATTAAGAGAAAAATCTCCAAAAAAACCGAGGCAGCCAAGAGGGGAAATCCATGCACTGCCAGCACCATGCACCCCAATGGATCCGCTCTCCCCTCGCAGGGGCCGTGCATGACATGCTCCAGAGGCGAGGTTTTCCTGAGCAGTTCCCAGTGCACGTGTTCTCTTCCTCAGCACAGCGCTCGGCACCTGGCCTCCTGACAGCACGCAGTAGCCCTCCCCTCTGTTCCACTCCCTGTACTTAGACAGATCTGCTTTGGAATCCATCTGAGGCTGTCCTTGCTTTCTAAATCATTATGGAAACAGTGTCATGGCTGCAAGGGCCTGCCTAGTACAACCCCTAGCACAACCCGTTCTGCCCTCCCTCTCTCTCTAGACTCCTCATGTTCACCTCACTCTACTATGCTTTCTTCTCCAAACCCTTTTTTTTCAGTGGGGTGGGGGGGAAAGGGATTGGTTGGATAGGTTAGGAAAAAAATCTTGCATATGCCTTATTTCTAAAAACCATTTTAGTAGTTTCAATAAATTATTTACTAGTATTTAATAAATATTGGTTCTTAAGTAAATACTTTACAGCAATAATTCTAGCCACACTGGCCTTCTGGATCCTTCAGCTGTCAAGCTCGCCAAGACTTGCACCAACTCCTCCCACTGCTTAGAACACGTCTCCCATCCTTCCCCACTTAGTAGTTGCCTCTACTCATCCTTCTGATTTCAGCTTACTTCCTTGGGGGAAGCTGACCTTCCTAATTATGTTGAATCCTCTTGCTACCAACCTATGGGAATCTTCTTACTCTAATTCCTTAGTGCAGTTATACTTTGATCCATGACTGTGTGTGATCCTTTAATCAATGTCTGTCTCCCAACTTGAGTCTGTAAGACTCTTAAGGGTAAGGGCTACCGATTGCATCAACAACTCATGACAAGCTTGCCATCATAATGGGAAGGAGATTCTAAAATCAGTGTGCAAGCCAAACACAGAAACAAAAGACATCTTGATGTGTAGGGACACAATCCTGGAGTACTGATCACCTACAGTGCCGTTTCTGTGAATCAACACTGTGTCTAAAACACCAAGGCAGATGACTGCGATGTAAAAGCATAATGTGCAGAAAAATAGATTACAAGGAAATTCATCAAAAATAGTATGAGTTGAGCATCATTAATGCTGTTTTATACATTATTTCTCTGTTCCTCAAATATTCAGAAACAGTACAGAGTAACAAACATAATTTTAAGAAGTATACATTAAAAAAAATTTAAAGGCTTTTACCTGGAGAACAAATACCATCCGCATCTAAAATTTCATGTCGCCAGATAGGTTTTCTTGTAGCAGCATCCAACATGGGCCCCATTACTTTATCGAAAGTCTGATTGGTATAGCGCTTCAATGTACACTTAGCATTTTTATATACTAAGCAACGGCCAAAGCCTAAAATGAAGCCAAAATGGGTATCAGAACCACCATCAATTGTGCTTTTTGAAATCCTCCCACATTACCTTCCCAAACCACTCCACTTGTAGATAATTGGGGCCTGAAAAAAAAAAAACAAACCCAAAGCCAACTTGAAGAAACGACTCAGGATCCCTCCCCATCGTGTGTATAAACAATGCGATCTCTGTGACCATTTGTCAGTTCATAAAGCTGGGAGAAATCTAAGAGCCACACGATGACTCTTTAAGATAGAAGATCAGGATTGGAAATCATCTGGCTCATCAATCCCTTTCTTTTACAGACACAATGAGTGGTCCGAAGAAATCAAGTGTCCAAAGTCACACAGATGTTGGTAATCGGTCTGAGGACAGGCCAGGACCACCATGTACTCTAGGTACATATCCTCATGGTGCAAGACTTTCATTAACCTTTCCTGGAAAGTTTCTATTGTTCATAAATTTTATCTGTTTACTTTCACTTGAAAGAAAGAGTGACAATGTATATACAGAGAAAGAGGAGTGAGACAACAAAAGCAATTTCAATTCTGTTGCATTGCCCAGATCCCCATAGCAGCTAGGACTGGGCCAAGCCAAAGCCAGTGACACAGAACTCCAAGCAGGTCTCCTACATGAATGGCGGGGATCTCGGTACTTGAGCTATCACATGTAGCCCCCCAGGATGAGCATTAGCAGGAAGCTGGATGAAGCACATCCAGCATTCAGCACTGGATATGCAATGAAGGTGTCCCAAGTATGTGGTTTCACTGCTGTGCCAAACTTACTTGTATCAGGAAGTTTTCTTTTAAAAATTTTTGGATAATTAGACAAAGTTCAGAACAAGCAAACAAACAAACAAAAAATTTTTTTTTTGCCTGAGGAGAAAGTAAAGGGAGTTATCAAATGTTATCAGTAGGTACATTTTGCCTCTGCTGTAAAACTTATAGGGCTGACATTGTGACGTGGGCAGTAAAGTCCCTGCCTGCCAGCTCGCATCTAGGCTGCTCCACTTCCAATGGCCTGAGAAAACCAGTGAAACACTGACTAAGTCTTTGGACCTCTGCCATCCACATGAGAAACCAGATGAAACTCCTGGCTCCTGAATTTAGCTTGACCTATTGCTGCCGTGCAGCCATCTGGGGAGTAAACCAGCAGAGGGAAACTCTCTCTTTCTCTCAAAGTCAGTAATTAAAAATTTCTTAAAAAATATTTCTCTCTTCCTACCCTGCCCCAGCCTTTTAAGTAGATGCAAATAGGCATTCAAAAAAAAATTAGAGTTTAATTGCATGCTTAAAATGCCTTTACCTAATAAATGAGAGGAAAGCTGGGAGATTACTAAACAATCTAAGAATAAAGCAGACAAAATGAACAGAAGAAATAATTTTGGATAGAGTAAAACACGCAACTACTGAAACCCTCAAAAAATATTATCAGTTGTAAAGCTACCCAAGAGAGTTATCACCCCTTCAACAGTAAACATCATGTCCCGAGAATTTCTTCAAACTGGATTTTCTGATTGGCTCAGGATATACTAAGCCATGAGAGAGCTAACTTAAAGCAGGAAAATGCCTCAGGATTAGATGTCAGTTACTGAGATGGGCATTTGGCACAGTAGTTAAGTTGCAGCTTGGGATGCCCATATTATATACTGGATTGTCAGGTTCAAGTCCTGGGTCCCCTACTTCCAATGCAGCTTCATGCTTATGTGCACCGTGGAAGGCAACACATAATGGTTCAAATGCTTAGGTCCCTGCCCCTCACATGGGAGACCTGGACAGAGTTTCAGGCACTTGGCTTTGGAATGGTCTAGTCTTGGCTGTAATGCATGTGTGGGAATATCACTCTCTGCTTTTAAAATAAAATGAAAATAAGTAAGTGAAAATATGACAAAAATGAAAGCATTACTAAGGAAATAAAAAGCATGGCTGGAAAATCCTTCACTTAGGATTTTCTAGCAAAAGCAGGGACTCTTCAGAAATCTAAGAATGTGAACACAAAGAAGCAATCATGTAAAAGTGGATTTCAGCATACTAATGTGATTTTTTTAAAATGTGAAAATCCATGTGCAATGCCATAAACGTTTACCATTAGTGGTAGATGGATCCTCACCTGTGTCTCTGAGCAAGGTCTTACTCATCACAGTTCCTAGTAAATTGTGCGTGACCCTAATACTCAGAACCCAGACAGCCAGTTGATCTTGAAATCTCCTATGACAGCCATTACCGCAACAGGCTGGGCTGCAGTGTGAATCTGAATTGCTTGTAATCAAGAAGTTCCTTAAGTGCAAATGGGTATTTTATTTACAGGTGGAAGCTTCAAGGGCAAACAGTAAACAGTTTAACAGTAAACTTGAATCATTAAATTGTGACGTGGAGTTGCTGATGGACATCACAAAGTCTGCAGATTTCCACATACACGAAACCAGTTAATCAGAAAGGAAAACATCTAGTTTTAAAGCATGGCTGTTGTCATTTGGAGGAAAAAAAGAGGCATAAATTAAGTGCAGCCAACATTAACGCCAAAGACACATGTCTTGGGGTACTATTATGGCTGCCTAGCAACTGCCAAGAGGGAAGGGGAGGTAGAGCGGCGATGCCAGGGAGCCAGGGAGCAGCAGAGACTGTGAATAGATAAGTCAGACTTGAGTCAGGTGACAGCTCACACAGCCCAGCCAGGGGAGGCTTGCCAGGGAAGTGCTCAAAATACTGAGAAAGAAAGCATAAAAACGACAAGCCAGAATTGGAATAGGTGTGTTTTTATCTTTTGTCATCTGGCAAATTAAAAAAAAAGAAAAGGTGTAGAGTTAAGATGTGAAATATAAAAATAGTCATTTGCATCCCAATGTTGCTACTGCCATCTCAGACTAGCTTGTTCTTGATCACTAGATAGATTTTTTTTTTAAAGAAAAAACTCAATTTATATACTGCAATTTCTGCGGGAAAATAAACTAATTCTATTTTTTTTCCTCTTTGAGGAATTATTTTAAGTCACTAATAAATAACACCAACAAAAAGATACTATATAGGAGTATATTTAACAAATTATCTCCATTGAATATTCATTACAAAAAAAGCCAAATATTAAAACCTTGCAGCTTTCTCTTTGCGTATTACAAAAGACAAATCAACTGCATCAGTGTTGTTCACAATAGTTATCATTTTTATTAAAGTTTTGAAAAGACAGCTTTGGTGTTCAAAGCTTTGGGAATTCACCCACCTCTGTCCAGGGAGGCCTTGTTTAAAACAAGAGCATCTTCGATGTCATAGCCACTATAACTCATCACGGCCACTATCGCATTCTGTCCAGCTGGCAGTTTCTCAAAATCGATCAACTCAATGGTTTTCGTCTTAACCAGGGGTTTTTGTGGATATGCTAGTAGATACATGAGGGTATCAATTCTGTTCCTCTGGTTATATCCAATGGTTCCTTCATTGATATTGAAGAAAACAAAATGCAAAACTTCATTACATGAAATAAGTACATAGCAATACACAGAGAAATACCTAAACTTTCCTAACTAAAATGAAAACAGTCTTTAGGGGCAAGATTTCAAAAGCAAAGTCCTCATGGCAGCTACCAACTTAAGAAAAATTATACTCAGGTATACTAATTATATAATTTCTACTTCTGAATCTATGTAATTGATCCACTGTTTCCACTGGTTAAATCCACAAGCAATTCAACAAACATGTATTTGGTTCTATTATTGTTCCAGGAACTTTTTCCAGCTGTGGAGGAAAGGTAATGGGAGAACCCGACTTCATGTTCACAGGCAAGGATCTTAAGCAGTGTATCAAAAATAGGTACTTCATTGAAAAACATACATAATTATAAAGCTCAAAGTGAGAAAGAAAGCAGGAGAAAAGGAATAGAATGAAAAGAAATTTAAGCAACAGCATGTTGAATGAGTGGACTCATTCAGTTGTTTATGGTAATTTATTAAGCCTCTTCTATGCCAATACCAGAGATAAAACAGGGAAAACCAAGTTCCTCTTCCCTGAGGAATCTAGAGTACAATCCAACCAGGACGGGCTCTTTCCCCTTTAACAATCAGCCTTCTGATCAGCAAGGGTGTTGCTGGGTGACTGTCAACTGTAAATGAAACCACAGTGCTAGCCTTCTCTAATTTCCCCTTGGAAATACCTTGGGGCTCACGGACCTGCCCACAGAAGTCTTCCAGTCTTGTGGCCTTGGGGACACACTGATCCTACCCAGAGTTCTTCATATTGGGAAACAGCCTTGCCTTCTTTTGAGCAAGTGTGTGAGACACCAAGTTTCTCTAACTTCTGGGCTGAAAAGGTGGTTGTGGCTGACATCAGAATAAAGAAGGCAGAAAGGCAGCTTCAAGTCTCTCTTGCTCTGCCACGCATGTCCAGTGAGACACAGACAATACCCACACACTTCAAGATACTCTTGCACCAATGACTGTAAAGTCAATTAAACTGAAGAATCCCATTACACTTATCCTGACAGTTTGGGTTTGTGCTTCAGTCTCTAGAAAATGCATCAAGATTCAGCTGAAAAACAACAAACTGAATCTCAGTCAACTATTTGTTGACTGTGCACTATAAATTGCCAATTAATTTATGCTACTTTTGTGCCAACTAATAAACGGGGCAAAATACCTGACAACAGATTAACTACTGTGTTACATTAAGATCATTACCACTGAGATCATGGTAAAGTTCACCAACAATAAGCTGGTCCTTTTGCATGAAATAATCCAGAATTTATGTTGAGATTTCAACTCCAATTGTGTACTTTACCCAGCTTGAGACAAGGGTCCAGGCAATGTCCCACCAGGCTGCCAAACATGTCTTCTGAAACCTGAGACAAGCATTATTATGCAGCAGGGAGGCATAAATGGCTGTACCTCGGAACAATGGTGAAAGAGACTGGATCCTGCTATAAATTGTGCTATCAGGCCCAGAACATAATTCTTGGGGCATCACAACTGACCACTGAATGGATGAACAGCAAAACTGCTCAGCAAATGCTTGCTGCTTATGATCTCATTAGAAAATGTTCCTTAAAGACTTTTTAAAGAACTGTGGGAGAATTAAAGGACAAATAATGTTAGTAGCAATAGATTCTTAAGTTAAAATTATGTTTTTTCCATAATAAAGCTTTAAGCCTTCAGAACCCCATAATTTTTATAAAAACTATGAATGCCTTACTAGCTATTTTGCTAAAAAAAAAAAAAAGCACTCTTTTTTTTTTTTGAGAAAATGTCATACAGAAATTAACTTTGAGGTATGCCTGTGGGAATACATGTTCAAATTAGGATGTTTCTGCTTCCTTGAAAAAGGGCCTTCCATATGTACATATAACAACTAACACAATGACCGGGTCTCCAACTACAGGTGGCCTTCCACCTCTGTTCCCTCACTTTGTTGTAACTGTAGTCTCCAGTAACTTCATACAAGACAGGACACAATCTTTCCTATCATGTCATGTTGTCTTGTTTATAACTTTCTTAAGAAATCACAAGTTGTAATAGCAAGATATACAGGCTTAAGCTAAAGTAGTGTTCTTCTTTTAGGTGGGATGAGAAAGCTAGGTAAAGACATGAAAAGTTCAGAAAGTTTACAAATGAAAAAATGAAGTTTTATGCATTCATTTTTTTGGTCTTCTTGCCCAATTTTTAAAAGTTTAATCAAGATTACTGAATATTGCCATCCACTTAATGTATGCTACAGATGTGTACTGATCGGTAAATACATCTATGAATCACTAGCACAATCAAAATCAAAACAGAAAGATACTGTCCTCTGGCTCTGGCCCCAGGGGACTCGCAACCGTTTATATTCAGAGGTCTGTGTGTATTTTCTAGAATGCTACATAACCGGCGTTATGAGAGTACTTCAAAAAGTTCATGGAAAATATGATGGATGATTATTTTGGCATGAAAAATCTAAAATCCATACAATGTTTTCAAAATACATGTTTTCCATAAACTTTTTGAAGACCCTCTTAACATGCTGGATTAATCCTTTCATCCCAATACAGCAAACTTCCTGGAGCCCCGAGACAGTCTGTCCTAGTGCAGGTCTACTTCACACGGCCTAATGATTCTGATTCAGTCATATGGCTGTTTTGTATCGCAGTTTATTCCTTTTATTCCCAAGCAGTACTTCATTGCATGATCATACATTTTATTTCTTCATTCACCTGTTGATGGATATTTGTGTTATTTCTGGGTTTCCATTGCTGAGAATAAAGCCACTAGTAAATCCTCACGTGCTTGTCTCTGTTTTCAGTTCCTCACATAAGCAGTTAGGAGCGGAACTTTTGGAGTGTTGGGTAAGGGGATGGTTAACTTCAACAAACTACCCAAGTGGTTTCCCAGTGTGATTATACCACTTTCCATCCTCCTGGAACACAGGAGCTTTCTGGCCGCTTCACACTAGCACTGACATTTACTGTTTAGCATCAGTCTCCACCATCTTAATCACTCAAGTGAGCGTACGGGAATATCTCACAGCGTCTTCAACTTGTATCTTCCTGACATACGATGCTGAACACCATTTCACACTCTTTCTGGTCACATGTGTAACTTTGGGAAGTGCCTGGATTTTATTTTACCCTTCTTTTAATGAGGTTACGTTTCACTTATACATACTAGATAGAAATCCCTTATCAAATATAACTGCAAATACTTCCTACTATTCTCAGGAATGTATCTTCATACTTCTAAGGGTATCTTTCAAAGAAAGATCAATTCATTAAGCTTTCCTCTTTGTAGCTTGTACTTTTTGTATTCTATCCCAGAAACTGTAGCTTAAGTCATGATGATTTTTACCTATTTCCTTTCGTTTTAGAAAAAATTCCTTTCCTTACTGAACAGCTTTGACACATTTATTGAAAATCAATTACCCATAAATGTGCCTGTTTTAGGATTCTTGACTCCATTCCAAAGAGCTACACACTACCCTGTCATTGCCATATTGCATTACTGCAGCTTTACACTAAGTCAAAAGCAGATTGTCTAACTCCTCCAACTTACTCTTGTTTAGTTCTTTTTAAAAATATGGCCCTAATTTCTTCACTATTCTAATATGCCCAGGATTAATTTTTGAAACATTTACTAAACAATCACACCACCTACTAAGCAGGCAGCATACCAGGTACAAAGGACACAGTAACAGAGCAGTCCCCTCTGGAAGGAGCAGACCACATACAAGACAGCAACTACTACGAGCAAAGGAGCCAGTGGGAACACAGGGGAATTTGACAGATCACATTTCATAGAAGACAAGTTGGAACCTTTGATACGTTACACCACAAAACAGGGATTCAACCAACCACCTTGCTAGAGGAAAATGAAAGGTACGTATGCACTATTGTGATTATCATCCATTCTACAGCATTCTGTATACAAGTGACCCTAACCTATGCACTACATTTCAGTTCCACTTCTGTTAAGAATTCTGAATACATTCTCATCTTAGAAGATGTTCCACAAACTTACCACTAAAACAGCTCAATGATCTAGAAATCTATTTAACTAACAGAATTCTAAGAGTTCTCAGATACTTTGTTTGTCCTACATCCCTAAATGGATACAGTAAATATGATTTAAAAATTCAAAGATAAAGAGGGGAAGAGTTATAGAATCAGAAAAAATTTTATTATGAAGATCTCTGTATTTTATAAACTTCAAAATTCTCCATTCTGTTTCCAGAATATTCCACCCTTACTATATAAAGGAGAATACAGGGAAAAAGCCTTCTGCTTAGACTCTATTGAAAGCAAAAGCAAAAACAAAAACAGAAGCTGCATTAGCTTGTGAGTTAAAAGGCAAGTCAAGGCAATTTGGGAAGTGGGGCAAGGGGTGGTGACGAGAAGCTGCTGAGGAGCTGGGGGGGTCTGTGATGCATATTCATTAACTGAGCTGATAGGGGCTGAGATCCTTTTAAAAGGGAAAGTATTCCACTAGAGGACTGCCAACTAATAAAACGGGCAGGATATGAAAGCGTGGCTCATGTGAACTTGGCACTGGGTGCCAGGGAGAATACATACAAGGCAGCTCCAACACACAGCCTATGCGCGGAGCGCCAAGTGCCCTGGACACCTTGCCATTTCCAGATGTCCACCTGGCTCCCTACTCCAAACCATCCCACAACTCACCGAGCCAGAGCCATGAGAGAGAGAGTCTTCTTAACAGAACAGAGATGCTGTGAGGAAACTTGAACTTGATAATTTTAAAGAGCCAAAGATACAAGAAACACCCTCTGCTAGTGTTTTCTGTTGGATTCCCTCTCTCTGACAAACCAGGTAAGACTCAAGTCTCTGTGGCTGGTGCCAGTTGTGGTTTCCTTCACAACACATAGGAAATGACTTATTTCTGCCCCGTCTTAGAGGGAGGTGCAAGGTGGGTGTTGACAGAACATTTTCTAGGTTGCTTGTTTGTACATTACTTCTGGTTATGTTCTTTCACTTTCTACAGGATCATCCGACAGAAGAACCTGGGCACACCTGCACTGAATCGCTGAGATCTGAACAGACTTCAGTAATGAGCTCATATTTAAAGTGAAATAATGTGACCTGGAGTTTTCAGCGCCCAGACTGTGTAGCATGAAAACGATGCAGAGAATCCTGATCCCAAGAGCTCAGGGCTTAGGACTGCTTCAGGGAACCGGGTCTTTGCGTAGGTTTTCTCTCTCTGCTGACTCTTCTTTTGTAATTTTCCTAGACTTCAGTGAACCCTTCGGCAGCTACTTTGGGGTCCAAAAAGAAATGTGGCCGTGGTATGTGCCAACTTTAAATGTACTTTTATCTCACTGCTTTTCTTTCCAGTCAGGTGTTTTATAATAACAAACAGTAACAAAGGCTTTTTCTTATTACTTAAGATATTCAGGGGCTTTTGTCTTCGCAGCGTCAGCAGTAACGTCAGAGGATTGTATCCAAGGAGCTAAATGTGCAGGCCCCAGGGTCAGAGCAGCTGAATACACCAACCTCAGAAAACACAGACAATGAATTGCAAATGACACTCAAAACAAAACGAGAAAAAAACCCTTCACACAGCAAACGACAAAAGAACTCTACAGACACTGAATTGGCTTTCTGTACACACTGATCCTGCTTAACTGTGTGTGGTAACTAACAGGGATTCACAGACTCATTCCACAAAGTGAAAGCTTTCCCCCTGCTTTAGTGGGGAGGAGTTACAAAATAAAAATGTTATTTCTGACCTTCAAGTGTATTCTCTGACTGAGAAAAAAAAAGCTGCACTAAAGAAAAACGGATGCAATTTTTTCTCTGTTTCTATCTTCAGGCGCCCTGAAGCGAGGCACTGGCGACCAAGTGATGAGTCTTGCGTGAATTCTGTCGACTGTTCTCCACAAACGGCGTACTGTCTCACTCAGAATTTGCATCATGAGACAAAACAGTTTGGTAAACACAATAGAAGTGATAGCCCTTTCGATACCCAAGGTGCAGTACTGTATGTTTCAACTTGTTAGCAAGTCAGAGATAAAAACGGGAAATCAGCCTACATTGCCACTGAGGATGAAGGGGAAGGCGAAACTGACGAGCCACTGTTTAGACCTTCCCACTGGGAATCACTCTCCACTGTCCAGGCATTTCATCGTTCAGGTGAATGGTGCTAGGAAAATGGACTTTATATTTCTTTGTGACTAGCCAAAAGAATATGAAAATCCATAAAAATATGTATGTGAATTATATGTTTGTGTGTGTGTGCACAACTACATATATACAAACTGTGTGCCTGTGGTGAAGACACAGAGTTCCTGAACTATCCAGACAGTCAGCAGAGCTGGTGGCTGGCAACTGAGAAGGTGAGGACACTCTGGTTACAACCCAAATGTATACAAAAACCACTCCCTCTATGCTTTCATGGTGTCTTCATAGAACTCCTATATCACGCCTCCAGAGATGACAAGCCACACTGATGCCTCAGGTATACAGGATAGCAATGTTTACACTAAGGACTTGGAAAATATTTTGAAAAGGCTTAGAAGCAAACCTTCTTTTTGCCTGATATCCTCTCTGTATCACCTGCAAGACACAACTCCTTGGTGACACCTCTCTAGGACACCTCTACACCAAGCCGACACCAGACAGTCACACTCAAGTACTGAGACTTGACCATCTCTCCTGTACTTCTGTCACCTTCAAAATACATGTCTTTTTTAAGACATGCTTCAGAAAGAAACGATTTTCTAACAGCATGTGATCCGGGCTGCTGGTCCATTACAGCATTACTCACATGGGATGGCATTCTTATTTTCTGTTTTGGTTTCTCCAACTAAGATTGTGAACTTAGGGATGGCTCTGTCTCAGTTCTATGCGTTCAGACTCTAGCCCCAAGCTTAGCCATAGTGTTACAGGATAAATAAATTAACAGATGGACAGACAGAAGGCAAATATCAAATAAAGAGAAAAGAAAATAAACTCAGAAACTGATGTCACAAGGATTGGGTAAGTTTTAGGAGACACAGTAGCCAACTGCAAGGATATAATGGGTTCAATGACTCATCCTCCTGCAATTACCAGGAACAGCCTAAAAAAATGTGCTCTGTACCTTCTGCAGCTCTACATCTTTTCCTGCTCCTCCCTTAACCCTGAGTTTTTCTGCTCTGTCTATCATGTGTCCTGGTTAGTAGCTTACATTTTATAGGGCTTTGCCATTCATAGCACATCTTTGTAATTCTGTAATATTGTCTATTGTTCTGTTTGGTCAAAGAAACAAGTTCAGAGGGGGTTACTTCATTATCATTTCAGCTTTTGACCTGACAGAACACCTACAAGCACTGTTGTTTAACACACAACCCTCTGACCTTGGCAACCTTCAGTGCTTCCAATGCCTGGCTGCCTGATTTGCCCAAACTTGTAAAACTAGTGAAGCAACAATAAGAACTAAGCCTTTTTCTCCAGTATCTATAACAACACTCCAGAAGGAACTCTTACCCATTGCTTGTTTCCCCATAGCACACTGATAGGTGTTTCTCGGGGACTGGTTATGATGAGGGTATGGAATCAGGCCTGCACAAACACCGAGAAGAGTGAAGGGTTCGATCTCCAAGTGCGTCGTATCTCTAGCAGAGTTAAGAATTAGATGGTTGAGGCATCAAAGGTTATAAAAAGTTATAAAAATATTATTATATAGGTTGCTAAGGAATTTAGCAATGCTAATAAAACCATTAAAAATACCTAAATAAAACATAACAATTTGCATTTTTTAAGTGATAAAACTATAAGAGAAACGAAGCTGTACATCGTGTGTACACAGAAGATAAAGTGCAGTATTTGGAGTTCAGCACAGCTGCCCTAGTTGGGGACAGGAGCACGGGGGGATGCTGCAGTGGTGAAGTGAGCAGATCATGCAGGCACTCCAAGGCCTCCAGAAGGTCATCTGAGGGAGGACAGCCACCAGCGGGTAGGGAGAAGTCCTGAGATGAGCACTCCACTCCAGAAGGAACAGACTTCAGGTGACTTGTAGAACCCAGGTAGCAGGGAGTGGCCTGGTGTGCTGGATGGCAATTTTGAAAGCTAATGCAACCTGCTAAGAAAGGGGCTGATGTGGACATAGACAAGGAGAGGAGTCAAGGCTGAACCAGATTTTGGATTTGAGTAACATAAAAGATGCAACCATCACAAAAAAAAGCTCTCCTTAATATTCTGTCAATTTTGAAAGGAGGGGGTATAAAGTAATTTGAGAGATTCATACTTTTAAGGAGTAAAAAATCTGATGAAAATGCACTGCTTAATAGATAATAAAAGTGATATATTTCATCTATTGAAAGAAAGAAAACATACAAAAACTACTTGTTATTTATTGAGGATACAAGAATTATCAGGTGCTAGCACTGAGTTTCCTAAGTATTTAACAATTTCAATTTCAGGTAAGCAATATATTAGTCATATGTATCACAGAGCAAGATATGTGGGTGTCCTCTAATATATTTTGAAAAGGACATAGGTTTTTCTAAAAATATCATTGCTACAGGAGCAATACTGCAAGCATAATACAATTTCATCTTTATGTCACCTGATTCATTACTGTAATTTTAGCAGTGATTAATGCTAAAATCAGAGAAGCAATTCCTTTTAAAAGTTATATATTAAGTGTTGAGTGAAGATGATGGATAATTAGTTTAAAGATAACCTGTAAGCAGCTTTGTGATAATCTCAATTGGAATAAATGATGGATTATGGTTTACCATAAAAAAATTTATGTATAGCAATTCCATAATCAAAGATCACAGGACAGAGACTGAAGATGACAAAGAGACAAGAGCTGCTTGCTACTATCATCAGAATAGGTTTCAGTTACACTTGTTCCAGTTTTTACTTACTTATTAATTGTATGTTCATATAGTGCAATGTTGCAATCATTTTCTTCATTGACATCTAAATATTCAACCAGGCTCTCATGTAAGAAATCTTCAAAAGTCCTGGGAAAACATTGGTTAAAGAGACATTAACAAAAACAGGGGCTAGCACCGTGGCATTGGGTAAAAGCACCACCTACGATGCCAACATCCCAGTAGAGCACTGGCTCAAGTCCCGGCTCCTCGTCTTTGATGCAGCTTCCTGCTGACGCCCTGGGAAAGCAGCAGCAGACGACCCAAGTACTCGGGCTCCTGCCACCTAACACAAGACTGAATGGAGTTCCAGGGACCAGGCTGCGGCCTGGCCCTCCCCAGGCTCTTGTAGCCATGTGCGAAGTGAACCAGACAGCAGATACCTGATCTCCTTGCTTCCTCCTCTCTAAACTTTGTCTTTCAAATAAATAAATCTTTTTTTTAAAGGCAGTATTTTTATAGCAGTATTTTATTATATATAAATAACAGGAGACACTGCCTTTCATTTAAGCCAAAAGCACCTTCCTTTTGGACAGCATCAGTATAGTATAATACCTGAAATGTGCTATTCTTGGGACAGTTATTCCACATCCCTGAAATAAAAACAGCAGTGTCTGTGATTCTTGTCAACCTGCTCTTGACTTCTAAATAACAAATCTGACTTTAAAAAGTTCTCAGTGTCATCACTTACTTATTCTCATACTAGAAACATTTAATAGCGCACAAATTTATACCACAGCTCTGTAATCGTCCTGATCTACAATTGGTGAGTATTTTCCGATGCCCAAGAAAGTTTACATGCAGAAAAATGGCTTTGTAACAGGCTGGCAGGGAGCAGCTAGGAGACTGAAAATGAAGGTACACTATTCTTAGAAGCACAGATCCAGGGCATTAGTGCTAACTAAAACATACAAATACATAAAGACCTACGTACTTTATTTGGGACAGCTTACCTGTACCCCTGAGCCAGCTCCTCCATATGCTTATTCGTGACCGCAGGTTTCTGCTTCTTGACAATTATGTAGGGCCTAGAACGGAGCAGCAGGCGTTCCATACAAGAGTTACGTTAGCAAATTAATTTGCCATAGAGAAACAAGGGAAGATGTACATACAATTTAACTTTTTATTGGATTGGCTGAGGATACCAGGTATTTTTTGCATGTGTAAGTACGTAAGGACCAATCTTTCCTTTCTTATATAAACATGCACACTCAAGCCTACATGCACGCACATAGTCAGGTAGATACGTAGTACTCATCCCAGTTATCTTAGCAAACATTGGAGTTTGAATCAAGAGTCAACCTATAAATAAAATCTAGGAAGGACTTAAGCCTTTATGTCATATATTTTTTTAAATGGAAACTTTTGAAATGATGTGCTTCTTTGGGAACATTTCATATACAAATAGTGCCTGCTTATCTACGGTTTGGCTTGCTGTCCTCACAGTTTAGTTACCTATAGTCAATCATGGTCTGAAAGTATTAAGTGGAAAACTTCAGAAATAAACCATTTACAAGCTTTACGTTTTGTGTTTTGAGCAGTGTGATGAAATCTCACAGTAGCCCATTCTGTTCTGGGATTTTGGAGCAACTTTCCGCATGGGGTATCTGTGTTGTATATCCTACCTCCCCGTTAGTCACACAGTAGCCATCTGGGTTACCACATTGAAAAGATAGATGATCTAGGGTTGGCATCCACTGGGTGTCTTGCAATGCATTTCCAAGGATAATGGGGAAAAGGGGAAGGGAGGGTAGGGATAGAGCATTATCCATAAAGCTAGCAGGCAAAGAACCACTGTTCCTTAGGACAATAAGGTATTTTTTTTCAAGGGCTGGAGAACTATCCATATGTTTAGGATATTTTGATTTAGGACAAATACCACTGAGTGACACCCACAGTTACTTCACGCTACCTGTGCATGACAAGAAAGAGTGGCAGCTAGTTTGTACTGAATGAGGCTTTCTTCCTTAGTGATTTTTAGCAATGTAAGGGTGCAAGGTACTGCGTTCTCTGGCAGATTAACCTATAACTGTCAGCAGGGCTTGTCTCCGAGTGTTTCACCACCACAAGGAAACACCGACACAAAGAAAGGCATGTGGCCATGAACTGTCAAGGGTGGTTGCTATTTGGATAAGCGGCTCTCACCCAGAGGAGCGAGCAATCAACAGACACTTGTGTGCTCTAACCTAAAGCCCAAATAAGTGCTGGGGGACTAATAAAGCACTTTCCAACATTAAGGAAGAGGTGCAGCATCACGACAAGAGGAGCCACAAATTACTGGAAAATGAACAGGGTGAGCTTTATGTGGAATTTCGGCTTCTTCCTCGCTGGAAGCACAACCCTGGCTGCCTCTGGGAAGGGCTGCCATGAGGTTCAGGTGAGGCAGCAGCAACATGGCAGAAGCAGGGGCCGGGGACACACTTAGCTACCTGGGGTTTCTCCTCACTCTACAAATTGTACCCATTTCTATAGCCAGATGTGCCCTCTGCCATTATGAAAACACTTCTAAAAAAGCAGATGTGCTTTTAGAGAACGCTATATTCTACTGAATGCACCTACTGTATTTCCTTGCTCTAACCAAACCATGTTAACAATAATGAACAAGCACCAACTGGGTATCTGCTGCCCTACATGGCAGCACAATCTTGTATCAGTTAGTTTTCAGGACAATTCTAGGTAGATATCATAATTGACATTTTATCAATCAAAGAATCCAAAACTCAGAGACTCTAAGTATTGGAATCCCACAAGCCAATAAGTAGAAACTTAGGATCCAAATGGATCATCAGTTGTTCTTTGGTTGTAAAGAAGAGAAATCAACTCTGGCTACTTAAAGTAAAAATGGAATTTATTGTTAGCACTAAGAATTTACTAGAAGGCGTAGAATGAAAGAAAAAAGAGAAATGGTCAGCCTCTGAAACTGAGGGAAGCACAGTACCGGACACTCTTTTCCACATATCACTGTCACAATCAACCAAGGCCTTCCCATGCCTCACTCCAGTCGGGATTCAAATTTTCTTATGAGTCTGGCTGGTCTTGCCTGGGTCATATGTCTGATCCTTGGCTAAGCAGAAGACACTGGATTAACCATCTCAAGGAGACTCTATTGAAAAGAAAGAGTCCCCAAAGGAACCTGTAATGTACTGCGAAGCAGAAAATGGTACCAGACAGACACAGCGATGGCAGTCCACTTGCCCAGCTGACACTCTTCCAGCCAGCAATAGCTGTCTGTCTACACAGAATGACTCCAGCAAAACAAACGAAGGCTTCTGAAACACAGCCATGACCTCAGCTGACACCCTCACGTGTTCCCTAAAGGCAAGATGCTCTGCCCCAGTTGTCTTTGGATCCCTAGCTCCCAGACAAGACCTTGAACAATAAGACTTTTAATGAAAGTTGGCTGAATAGGGCCCGGCGCGGTGGCGCAAGTGGTTAAGTCCTCGCCTTGCACGCCCGGGATCCCATATGGGCGCCGGTTCTAATCCCGGCAGCCCCGCTTCCCTTCCAGCTCCCTGCCTGTGGCCCGGGAAGGCAGTTGAGGACGGCCCAAAGCTTTGGGAACCTGCACCCGCGTGGGAGACCCGGAAGAGGCTCCTGGCTTCGGATCGGCAGAGTATCGGCCCGTTGTGCTCACTTGGGGAGTGAGTCATCGGATGGAGGGTCTTCCTCTCTGTCTCTCCTCTCTGTATATCCGCCTTTCCAATGAAAAAATAATAAAAATAAATCTTTAAAAAAAAAAAAAAAAAAAAAAAAAAAAAAAAAAAAAGAAAGTTGGCTGAATAAATAAAAGAACCCCACTCTTCCCCTGGGCCTACTGCTGTCTTTATTTCTTCATGCCTCTACCTTTGCATTCTTGCTGTACTGCAGCCTTTTCCCTCTCCCTTTTACCCAGTGGCACAACTCTTGTAAAGCCCAGTTTGCAGCAACAGTATCAAGTGGGTAAAAGTCAAGGTTGCTGAAGTCAAATAAACTCTAAGGACTTCTGAGTAAAATCTTGACTCTCACATTCCTTGGGTTTGAGTAAGTTACTCAGCTTCATTTTACCCCAGTTTCTTCACTTATAAGATAAAATAACAATATGACCTCAGAGAGGTACATGCAGCAAAAGCATTATACTAACAGTATATCCATTAAGTAATAAGGAGTGGCCAGCATCCATTACTAGCACAGCTGTCTGTTCTTATTTCTGCTCCTACCAGCAGCCTAAGCTCTCCGAAGGCAGCCTGCTTCCCACTCATCTCTGAGCCTTCCACTAATCTCTCAAGTGCTCACTAACCAAGTTAATTTTATCAGTGGAGAAGGTTAAAGCAGCTTCAGAAATAAAAATAAGATTTTTTTTCTTTCAAAAGTCAATACAAACTGTTCAAAATTGTTTTTGCAATAAATACCTGCATAGCCTTCCTCCATCAGAGGAAATATAGACACATCGATCTGTAAGGTTGGTTGAGATGGAAACAAATTCATTGATATACCCTGCTCTCCGCATCAGTCGAAATGTATTCACCAGCTTTTTATGGTCTCTAATGACGCCCAGGATGTTTCCTATGCAAAACAGAAGAAGCAAGGCAGAAATAAAACATAAACGTAATATGATTTAAATATCTACTCAATAAAAACAACGAGTAGTCACTTGAAAGCCAGTGCACAGGCCATGTGAAAAGACACAGAGGGAGGCAGGGAGGTTTAAGGGAGCTAGAGCCTACAGTCGGGTCCTGTATGTGCTAGCTGAATAGTCCTGGGAAAGTTCACTTGACGGTCCTCCTTTCCTCAGCACAGCATGAACTTGGGGTCCAGGCATGTGGGTATGCACACCAGCGTGCTCTCTTCCAGAGTAGTTGTGAAGACCATACGAGATGATGAACTGTAAAGCACACAGCACTCTGCCTAGCACCTGGCAATGCTGTTATTTAACTGCTCTGTGATCATCATCAGACTTTGCCCTCCAGGGTTAGAGTGAGGATCCCAAAAGATGTTAGGACAAAGTGCAGAGTAGGAGCTCACTCAGCCTCAGCCTCCGGCATGCACTGCACGTGGCTCAGGTTGGGACACCCTTCCTCATCAGCCCTGAAAAGCCTCCAGGAGGAGGGGAGAAGAGATCTGCCAGCTAAATGGCACATAGACCACAAAAGAAAAGCAGAAAGGGCATGGTGCACCTGCTGCTGAGTTCTGGGGTAACTTGAAGGAGCTGAGAAGAAGTAAAAACTGGTGACACGTCTACTATCAAATGGCTGAATGACCAACTGACCCTAAGGGCTGGGCTGGTCATTTTTGCAGATGTACTTGAAGGTACCACGTGAGCCGTATTCCACTATGGATACACTTGCAGCTGCAAAAAGCCGTGTTATCCTTCAGCTGTAATGGCTGTGTCCTCTTCAAAACCTGGATTACTAGGCAATAGAGTGATTCTGTTATGACTTTTCTACCTTTCAATTAATGTCCACCTGGCCCAGAATTAATGTATATTTGTTCTTTAAATGCAAAGATAAGGGCAGGCATTTATGGCTGAGGGGGTTAAGCTGCCCCCTGGTATGCCAGTATCTCATGTGAGCACTGGTTCTAGTTCTTGCCAACACACTTCCAATCCAGCCCCCAGCTGATGTGTCTCAGAGGGCAGAGTGGTAACAGGGCTTCTGCCCTCAGGTGAGAGGTCTGGGTGGAATACCAATCTCCCAGCTCAAGCCTGGCCCACGCCTAGCCTTTTGGTCATTTGGAAGTAAACTGGCAGATGCAAGATCTCTTTTTCTTTTTATCTCTCTCTGTTCCCTTTGCCTTGGAAGTAAATTAAAGAAAAAAAAAAAGGCAAAGAACATAATGGATCCCCTCCCAGTCCCAGCAGGCTGTCTGGGATCAACACATCTTTGTAATATACCCACCATTCAAGAAGACAAGGAACACACTTGGGTATGAGAGCTCTTCCCCACACAATAAGTTGACATCTTCAACTCCTAGGTTACTGGCTAATTTAACAATAGGTCCATCTTCCATGTCAGTTGTGATGTGTGTCATAAGGGCCAAGTTTTTAACCAAACCACATGCCTAGTAAACAAGACAGTCATTTTTGAGAATAAATATTAGTAATACAAAGTATAGTTTGTACCTGAAAATAACTCATCACTTCACTAGCAGCAATAGTTAATATATAAAGTAGTACAGTCTTACAGGGGACAGTTTGGTAATTCATGCAGAAGCCTTTAAAAGGTATGTACACTTTCACCCAGACTAGGAAACAAAACAGATTTGCAACAGAAAAGCTCTGCACAGTACTATCTGTAATTGTTAACAATGATGATATCAACAATGTTCAAAATAAATTACAGAAAAACAGCTAAGGAAAAATAGTAGGTTTTTTTGGTGGGTCTCAGGACGGGGCGTCTCATGCCTGGATCCCAGACGACAGCTGTCATGTGCACGTGGTGAGCTGTTCCCGGGTGGCCAGTGCACCTTTTGGTGCCAGGCTCTACCTGCTGGCTGCCCGGCGGGGGGAGCTCTGGGGTTTGTTTCTTTGAGTCGCTGCTTAGTTAGCTTCAGGTTGAACCCATTGTGCTTCTAGGACCTGAAACATTCGTAAAGATTCCCACTGGTAGTAACTCTTCCTTTGTAAAACTTGTAATCACTGAACAATGCTGACCACCAAATACCAGTCCATGCAGAAGCTATGGTTTGGGGCTTGTTCTGCAAAAGTAGCTCCAACAGCTGGCTAATGTGTCAACTGGTAATGGAATAGAGCAGATCAGGCAGGACTGAGCAAACCTTAGCTCACAAGTAAAACTAGAAACCAGGAGGGAGCACAGGTCATGTTGAGCTAGGCTCTTGTATCTACTGGTCCACATGAGCCAGGGACGCTAAACCACGGTGTCTAAGGCAGAGGTCGGGACAGGTGAGGGGCTGTGCCAAGCTGGGTCAGAGCAACCACTGGCATGCGAGTGATCTATGGCTGGGAACAGGCCCGGTTGGGGAGCTAAGGGGACAACCCTAGCTGGGTTGAGGTTCCTGACAAGGGGCGTGTGACCTGGAATGGGGGCTGCATTCTGATCTGGAAACAGTTGTTGTCTCCCTTGGCACAAGTGTGGACTGGGATTGGATGCACCGAGCCAGGCCAGACCCCCACACCCTCTGGTGTCTTGGAGGACCAGGGCAGATGTGCGATGGACTAGGCAAGGTCTCAAACCACTACTGAGCCATGTGTGAGCCATATGTGGGTATGGACTAGCCATGGCTGGGCTGAAACATCCAACAGCAAGAACCAGCTTGGGTTGAAGGCCAGTCAGGAAAAGCCACAGTTCCTGCTATGACAGGAGGTGGACTGAGTAGGGCTGGCTCATGGACCCCCTGGTAAGCATGAAAACTGGCATTGGGAGAGGTTCTGATGGAGGAGCCTGGGCAACTCCTCTGGCAGGACACAGACCTGGCAGGTAAGCACAAGAAACATGATAGAAAACAGCCCAGAACAGGCCATGGAAAGTTACCCACTGGCATACAATTGGCAGGGGTTGGGGGAAGACCAGGCTGAATCTGTCCACGTCAACCACTGGCAAATCCAAGCACCAGTGTGGGTCGAGCCAGGTTGGGTCGCAACAATGACCAGTGCACAATATGGAATGCCAAGGTGAGGTTGCCTGTACCGGAAGGGACAGCAGTGCCCAACCAGCATGAGAACAAGGAAGGAAGGGGCAGAGCCAGCAGGGGAATAAGGGAGGGTTCCTTTGCTGGACAGCTACACCCGCAGGAGTAGGCTGGGATGGGGGCAGACCAGACTAGGCAGGGCTACAACATCTGTGCGCCTCATGTGGACTAGATCAGAGAAAAGCTGGGCTGGGCTGATTATTCCTACTGGTGCAAACAAAAATAGAGTGGGCAAGGGTTGTTCGGGCTTAGCCACAGCATCAGCTGGAATCTGGGAGTGGGAGAGGCCTGGGAGGGAAATAGTGGACTCATCCCTCTTGGGTTACCACTTCCACAGGAGGACATAAAACTAAGACAGTGGTTGGGGTGGAATAGGGTGTAGGACAGACTGGATTACTGCTACACATACTGGCAAACCAGGGTAGGGGGCGGGTCTGGTGGGGGTTATTGCGGGTCGCTCCAACTAGCCTGCAGCTCCCACTAGTTTATGTGAAGGCCGAGTATGTGCTAGGCAGAACCAGGCTGGACTGCAACACCTATTGGTTCCAGTGGAAGTCGGGAGTGAAAACAGAACCAACCCAGCAATTACAACCACCAGCTACTCAGGGCGATGGCCTGTGCCGGGCCCTGTACTTGCTAGCACATAACAAGAAATTTCTTTGGAGATCTCCCCAAACAAAATGCTGGACTCAAAACCCTAACCAAGAAAAGAGAGAAGACAGAACAGGTCAACCAACCATCGAAGCTATGATGGACTATGTCAATCAGTGGATTTTTCAAAGACCTCATAGTGCTTGGAGTGGCAAGATTGGCAGAGATTCATAACTGTTGAAACATCAAAACCACTTGAGCAAGAACCTCAGAGCCCTACATCCGGGACCTAGGGAGGGTGGGAAATTGGGTGGGCCTTCTCCCTTAATACCCCCCTTTAAACATGAAGGAAACAATATGGAAAAATACTAGTCTTATCCACTTTCCTGTAGCCTTTGAACCTTTTTACCCTAATTAACTATGTAAAGAGTGTCAACATAAATAAGTAATTTAAAAAAAAGAAAAATAGTGGTTTTTCTACTTATTACTTGTTGAATTCTTGATTTGGTGGAGAGTTAAGCATGCGATGATACATGGAAAGTATATCAGGCCTGGCATGGTACTCTAGCGGCTAAAGTCCTCGCCTTGCATGGACCAGGATCCCATGTTGGCACCTATTCATGTCCTGGCTGCCCCCACTTCCCTTAAAGCTCCCTGCTGTAGCCTGGGAAAGCTGGAAGAAGCTCCTGGCTCCTGGCTTTGGACTAGCTCAGCTCCAGTCCTTGGCAGCCATTTGGGGAGTGAACCAGCAGATGGGAGATCTTTCTCTCTCTTTTTCTCTTTACATCTGTCTTTCCAATAAAAACAAATAAATCTTTTGAACAAGAGAAAGAAAGTATATCATTGTAAAAATGAAAAAAAAATAGGAAAAAAAATAGAGCAGGAGAGAGGGTGGGAGAGATGGAGGGTATGATGGAAAATGTCAACATGCTCTTACAAATGTACATATGGAATGCATGTAATTTGTTCCCTTTATATAATAAATCATAATACTAAAATAACACAGCAGATGGGAGCTCTGTCTCTGAATGGAAGTAAAGGGGAGAACACACGGTACAGAGGTTAAGTTGCCAACTGCGATGACCACAGCCCACATTGGAGTAGCTAGTTTGAGTCCCAGCTGCTCTGGTCCTGATCCACCTTCCTGCTAACATGCACTCCAGGAGACAGCAGATGATGGCTCAAGTACTTGGATCCCTGCTCCCCATATGGGCGTCCTGGATTAAACTCCAGGCTCCCAGCTTCAGCCTGGCCCAGCCCCCACTGCTCTGGTATTTATAGACTGAAACAACAGATGGAAGATCTCTCTCTGTGTCTTTACCTTTGGGGAAGAAAACGCAAGTATTTTTTTTTCCAGAAACATACAAATATGTTTATATTGCCCATGGTATCATCAGGTGACAAAAACAATGGTTGAATTACCCTGGAGTATATGTTAACAAAAAAAAACAAAGCAAAAAAGGAAAGACGGAAAAAGAGAAAAGCAAAGAAGGAGCTGGCTCGAGAAGAGGCCCTGTGAGCAACAAAGGGACGGAGTCTCAGTTCTCCTTTGCATTCTCACTGCTCACCGTGCTTTCTGATGCTGGTGAAAAGCTGCAACAAGCAAGAGAAATGAAGATGCTTTCATTTAGTTAAAGCAGTAAATCCAACGCTTCTGTGAACTACTGGTTTGGGAATGACACTGATATAGTCTTGACAGGCTGCTTGAGGAGCTCTTTGCCAGTGAAATGGCTAATGAAAAAAAAAATCACACACACCTCCACACACGACTTGGGGCAGATAAGAGCAGGGGCAGACTCTCCAACCCCAACTGGTAATCCCTCTGCTCCAGCCCAGACCCTCTGGTACCTTACCTCTCCTTCAGGAGTGTCCGAAGGACACAGCATCCCCCACTGAGACGGCTGCAGAGAGCGAGGGCCACTGACTTTCCTTGTTTTTTCAAACTGGGAGGAGATCCTTGTCATCATCCCCAGAGCAGATATATAGGACAAGCGAGACAACACCTGGGTCACTCCCTGGCGGTCCATCTTAAATCTCTTTAGGGACCAATTTCCCTGCAGAAGGAAAGAAGATGTGAGATTGTCCTAACCCCTTCACACAGTGGCCTACGCTGCAGTCACACCAACACATTTATGAGAGAAACTACCTGCCAGTGTAATTATAGCCAAGATTATTAATAAAACAAAACATTACAATTATAATCCAATTTTAGCCAAGTCATATCCTGGAATTTTCTAGGAATATGATAAAAAAAAAAACCCATGTCCAGGAACCTTCGCAGAATGCTTCCCTACCTCAACCTAACCACATCTCAGAGCATTCACCTAACCATATACTGAAACTAACTGTACACTGCTCAAGCCAGCTCAACCAGAGCTTCTGACTGGAAGCCAGAAGCTGATACAATCCTAACAATCTCAAGGCACACTCAAGGAAAGACTAATTTGAAGCTCCAAGAGGTAAGCTGGAACGTGGTATTATTTGATGTCTTCCAAACCTGGAGCTTGAAGGAAATCAGAGGAAAACACAGTAACAGAAATGACTCTGACCACTGACAATGAATAAACTGAAGGTTTCTTCATCCAGGCTTGTAGAATGATCTAAAAACTGCATATGTACTAATGTTAAGAGATATTTTCTGTGGTGATCGTGTCATTATCAGACTCATATACAGTAAGTCTTTATTTATTTAATTCACTTTATCTCTCATGTATTAACTATCTTTTATATATATATAATGTTATAGTTGTATTAATTGTATACACTAAATAATATTGTCCAGGATAATTTAAACTCACAGTAATACAAATTAACTATGGAATTAGTATGGATCAAAAAAGCTAAATAGAAAATGTCAGTAAAATAGGTGGTTTGATTATTTTCTGATTCTAAAGCATGGCTCTTCACTTTGCTTTGAGAACCTGATGAAAGCTAAGAATGTTCTGGAAATGCACTGAGGACCATAAATACCAAATTTTACATTCAGCTTCATAAGTGTATTAATTCAGTGTAGGTTAAATACCCTCCTAGAACAAAACTAGGCTTCAGAAAGAACAAAACAAAGGTTTCAGAAGATTAGATCATCTGTTTGTATTAAATTACATGATTTAGAGGAGCGAACTACCCTTTCAGACCCTGCATTTTGGATAAAACAAAAAAGAGGCAAATTCTAGGAAGAAACCCTGTTATAAGCAAAGAAACAGAGCAAATACAAATATCCCGTAAGTTAACTTCTTGTATTGCTTATTCAGTTCACTCCTTTCATCTGTGGATCAAGAATGAATCTAGTGAAGGGACTTACGCACAGAGAGTGAGAGTAAACAAAGTAAATAAACATTCAGCACAGAGCTAAAATAAGGCAACAGCTGTTGCACACAGGAAGTGGATGGGGAGTGGAGCCAGAATGTTCAGCAAGAGAATCTGTCCTCGTATTGCACAGGAGTATCACAAAAGGGCAAGGAGAGAATCAGAGGGTTGACAACTTCTCCTTGGAGAGAACACACAGTGAAAACACGCACAAGCAGCCACCCTCTCAGGATTTCAGCAGTTTGTCTTCAACTGTTGCCTACCAACTGAGACCAGTGTGTCTAATCCTGCCTGCTACAAGCAGTGCCCCTTCATTTAGGAGCAACAGAATGACTCAGAACGACTCCCGTGACTTGAAAAGCACAGATCGGGAAGCAAGAAAAGCAAACCCAGCAGGAGTGAGCCTAGGGCCTCTTCGGAGTCTTCTCCAACATACAGAGACCTATCTTTGGACAAGCTTGGGCACGACAAGCTTGACGTTTTCAGAAGGCCCCTTGGCCTGGTTCCCCTTACATCCGGATGCAGTTGTCCCTATGAAGGGAACTCACAGGGACCCACTGCACACTTCTCACACCAAGTACTGAAGCAAAGCAAAGCTCCACTAACTCAGAGAGAGGCAATGTGTTAGACTATACTATTCTTTTGTTAAGGCAGAATCCCATCCATAACACTAATTTTATGTCAGGCACACAAAACAGGAAGCAGCCTTCATCAGATAGACCTATAGTTATTGTGTTTTAAGAAAGGAAGCAAGGTCCATCTGATAACCTTTCCTGAATAGCTCGATGCCTTGAATGCAGAGCAGCTGCTGGCGACTGAACTTACTGCTCACTGAGGAACAGCTGACAGGCCTGTGAGGATTATACAGCTACATCGAGTTGAAATGTTTTTCATTGTTTTTTGACAAAGGTTTCCAATTAATAACTTTGTTTGAAATATGTCAATTTTATTACAGGAAAAAAATGGAGAAAGCATCCATTAACATAATGACAATAAATGAAGTTAATTCAGAAGACATTTTTCCCTCTATATACTGGGATCTGTATTCTTTTAGCCTCATATAACGGTAAGCATAATTTGGCAGGCAAGTCTCACAGTAGCCCTCCCTAGCCTTGGGGGATATATTCCAAGACCCTGAGGGTACCTCAAGCCAAACTTAGTCCCTGAATCCTACACATGCTATGATTTTACCTCCTATGCATGTTAGATTAAGTTTAACTTGTCAGACACGATAAGAGGTTAGTAACAGTAAGGGATATCAAAATGAGATAATTGTACACTATTGGAATAAAAGTGATTTTAAAATGTATGAGTTATTTCTGGAACTTTTCATTTCAAATTTTCAGAGCACAGTTGACATATGGAAATAAAAACTGCAGAAAGGGAAATCATGGATGGGGATGGGGGATAACTATAGCTAGGCAATCTTCTCTAGTAACATTTAAGCTTTAGACTGCTTTTCAAAACAGAAAACCAGTGATTTGTAAACATTACTTTAAATGTATACGAGGGAGGTAGCACCTGGATTCTCAAAATACCTTGAGCTTCCATCCTACTGAGGAGATTTTCAAGTAAACCCTAAAGGAATGCTGCAGACTTACAGTAGAAATGGCATTCACCATGCCATTGGTGATCTGGTCCTGGCGCATGTGTTTCACAACATCAAACTGTGCAGCCCTTTGCTTAGGAATCACTTGGTCTGCAATTTTCTTCATTTCAGAGTTAAATTTTTTGAACAAATCTTCAAAAAGAAGAGATAAAAGCTAAAAAACAAAAGGAAAAAGAGTACATGGTGACCATTCAAAATGTATTATTCAGCTGTGAACCTCTAGGTCATGATGTAGGCTTTGTTGAAAAAGAAAAGCCAAAGAAATTGAGTAAAACTAAAAACCTAAATATGTTTAAAATCCAATTTGATACTTACATACTTCTCTATGTGCTCAATACTTATGCTAGACATGGCAGAGAGCGCAAAGGCAATGACGTAATCTCTACACTCAAAGACACTTACATTGTAGGCCACTCTCAGACTTCTGGATTCACAGACGAATGACCTAATGTTTAATTTTACAAATAAATTCTTCAAAATCTCATCCCTGGCGTGATAGTCTAGTGGCTAAATCCTTGCCTTGCAAACACCAGGATCCCATATGGGCACTGGTTCACGTCCTGATGGGCTCACTTTTCATCCAGCTCCCTGCTTGTGGTCTGGAAAAGCAGTCAAAGACAGACCAAGGCCTTTGTGACCCTGCACAGTCATTTTTTTTTTAAAGACTTATTTATTCATTTGTGAAAGTCAAATATACAGAGGGGAGGAGAGAGAGAGAAAGATCTTCCATCCGCTGATTTACTCCCCAAGCGGCCACAACAGCCATAGCTGAACCAATCCGAAGCAAGGAGTCAGGAACCTCTTCTGGCTCTCCCACATGGGTGCAGGGTCCCAAAGCTTTGGGCTGTTCTCAACTGCTTTCCCAGGCCACAAGCAGGGAGCTGGATGGGAAGCAGGGCCGCCGGGATTAGAACTGGCGCCCATAAGGGATCCTGGGGCATTCAAGGTGAGGACTTTAGCTGCTAGGCCACGCCGCCGCGCCCTACATGCAATTTCAATCAAAACTCGCAGATTTGTAATGAAAATTGTCAAGCTAATTCTAAATTTTGAGAGAAGCTATGACTCCGATATAGTCAATACAGTGCTGAAATAGGCGATGGGACTACTGAAAATAAATACAAACTGACCAAGAGAAGGAACCAAGGGGCCAGCAAGAGATTCACACACAGCATAATATTGTAATAGGACACGCCACATTTTTGAATTAGTGAGAAAATGAAACATTATATAATAAATGGTCTTGGGACAAATGATCACACATTTGAGAAACAAATGGATTTGGATCCTGACCTCATTCCAGATGGGCTGAAGGACAAAAACAAGCCAGAGCAGTAACTACTAAAAACACAAGCAGCACTGACAGTATCAACCACAATAACACCACCAATGCATACAGCGGGGCGCAGCCTGAAGCAGATAAGTACAACACTTAAAAATGACCAAAAAAATAGGATCCAGACACATAAACAGTGTCTCCTTGAAATCAATATTAAAAATGATAACAAAAAAGGCATTTCACAATCAATAACCACACAAAATGAGGCTTAACCTCATTAGTAATGGAGGAAACACAAATCAAAATTACAAGGAGAAATCGCTTTGCGCCAGGACACAGATGAAGGTTTCATACTAAGTCATGGAAAGGGACCATCAAGAGCACACACAAGCCATGTACAAGCGCACTGCGAGGAGCTGAGTTGAGGTTTAACTTGACTCCATGACTGGGCAATCTTCATTTTAGGAACTCTTGCATGTAGCAACCGAAAGACAGGAGCAATGGTGCATTTTATAAAGAGCAAACCATATAAAGTCCTTGATGATGAGAACAGGTGTTTTTCATATTATGGCATATTTTACACAATGTTACAATGTAAGGAAATGAAAATGAACTGCAGTGATATGCATGTCAGCCCTTGGGATGTCCACATTCCCATGGCTCTGGATTCAAGTCCAATTCCAACTCTGACTCAGCTTCCTGCTGAGGCCCATCTTGGGAGGCAGCAGTTGAGGGCTTGGATTCTTGCCACCCAGGTGAGAAAATATTTTTTTAAGGAAATAAAGATAAAAATATATTCACAGAAAATCATATATGGATCAATATGAATCTATTTTTATGAAGTTCAACATGCCAAACTTATACTGTAATAAATGATTTCACAACTTTAACATTCGAATTAAATATTAATTTTGAAGAGGTAATAAAAAGAGGGCCCGGCGCGGTGGTGCAAGTGGTTAAGGGCCTCGCCTTGCACGCCCAGGATCCCATATGGGCGCTGGTTCTATCCCCGCAGCCCCGCTTCCCTTCCAGCTCCCTGCCTGTGGCCCGGGAAAGCAGTCGAGGACAGCCCAAAGCTTTGGGACCCTGCACCCGCGTGGGAGACCCGGAAGAGGCTCCTGGCTTCGGATCGGCATAGTATTGGCCGTTGCGCTCACTTGGGGAGAGAATCATCGGACGGAAGATCTTCCTCTCTGTCTCTCCTCTCTGTATATCTGCCTTTCCAATAAAAAATAATAAAAATAAATCTTTAAAAAAAAATTAAAAAAGAAAGAGAAAAATTGTAGGGTGGTCAGGGAAGGAGAAGAGGCACAGAATAGGAAGGACAGCAGTAAATGAGAAGGCCTTTCTAACAATCCAGTTCTTCAGCTGGGTAGCTGTTTTCTGAGTGTTATGACCCTCCTAACATACGTGGCATATTTTTATTTTTATGTTCAAAATTATATAATAAAATTAAATAGCTTTAAAAGAACAATGTCTTTTGAAACAGCATGATCAATCACAGAAGCCAAACCAATGGGGAGGAACAGGAGGTTACAAAACAGTCCAGGATGGCTCTGCTTCCAAAATCGGTGAAGCAGCTCCTATCAGAGGGACGTGCCTGACAGACTAATTAGAAATTCTGGGCAGAACATTCAGAAGCTGTCGGAAGGAGCCACAGCATGCAGCGGCCAGGAGCAGAGCAACCCCAGGGTGAAGGGTGCTGGCTTCACTTTTTGTTTTTAAAGATCTCACCTAAGGCAGGTCACAGAGAAGATAACACTGGGGACCATTTACTGAAGAACCAGAGAGAAAAGACCTGAGCTGCAGGAAATCAGCAGCTGGAAAGTATGGGCGCATTCCCAGAAAGCAAACAGGGAGAAAACCCCAAATTTCAAAGATAAACATTGCCCAAGTTGCAGGCTGAAAACATCAAATACATTAGATGTTGCAAACACTAAATTCCCTTGTATAGTCAATTGCCTAATTTTTCCCCATTTTTTCCTTTGTTAGCATTTTAATTTCCTTAAAGAGGAAAAAAAAACCTGCTCACCATAGTTGTGTTCTAAGCTAATTAACAAAACAAAGTAGTATTAGAAAGGCATTATAGCTATTCTAATTATTTATGTAAAGAGGAATCCTAGACTCAGTGAAATCTTCTGAAGCTAAAGATTTTAGAAATTTCATATCGTCTATATTGAATGTTTATAACCAACAGATAATCTGTTGACTCTTAATGAACAAGATATTCAGAGCTAACAAGAGTTCTCTAGCTAGTACCAAAGAAAGCATTTCCTGAGTGGGATTCTGATTTCATGATTTTCTCGCTTAAGTTAGAAATATCCCACCACTAAAATCAACTTGCAGATAGCAAAGTCAGGCTCTTGGACTTGGATTTACTAGGTCAGTGGTGCTCTAAAAAGAAAACTTCCTCCTCTTAGAGCTTAATCCTTTCTTACAGTCCCAGCAGTTTCACTCACTGAAAAAAAAAAAAGAATATGGGAATGGAAGCAGGTGCAGAGGGGTGAGAGGGGATGCAGAAACCCACTGCAGCAACTTCCTGTGGAAACTGGCAAAAAGGAATTTGAATAAGCATCCTGAACAGACTTGAATGCCCTCATCCCTAACCACAAAAGCTCAGCTCCCTTGCAATTAGCCCTTTACACTCACACACTTTTGTCTCAAATTATGACAAAGTTTTTTTTTGGAACCCAGCTGAATGTACCGCAGCCACCTACCAGCCCCCAATTCATACAGGAAATGTCCTTGGTACTAAACAAGTAAAAAGTGGGAGCACAGGCACCAGGAAGATTGCCTCATTAGTAAATTTCTCCACACTCAAAATTTCAATTTAAGAGAATCAGTGTTGTCCAGTTCAGAGAGAAGTGAGAAAAAAAAAATCACCAGGCCAAGTCACAAAATAAACCACACTTTTCAGGTCAAGAGAAAAATAATAAAAGGGAGGCAAAGCTGGTGTTACTATTCCACACCTTTTATGGCTAGTCTGAGGTCTTTCTGCTCGCTTGGGACTGGAGCACTAAAGAGCAAATCATATTGAAGGAAAGAATGTTGATAGCTCATCAATTGATTTTTCAATGAAAATGCTAAAAAAATTAATAAAGAAGTTAAGCTGCTGAAATACAGTTTCACCAATTAGCTTAATGTCAGAGAATTCTAATTAGGTGTCTTGAGATTGCTATTTAGTGTTTAAGCCTTCAGAGTGCCAAATTCTCCTTTTCACACAAACTGGTTGCAAAATTAAAGACATTAGGCAGCCTTAATTACATTATCAGAACAGCTGGGATTAGGCAATCTCTGAAGTCAAGACGGCATTCTTTTGTCACAAGGTGGAAATCCCTGGCTTTCCAGGGTGCCGGATTTTGGTGCCATTCCATATCTCACCCATACAAAGCAAGCTGCATTAGAAACAAAAAATTTGCAGACAAAGAATGGAGTAATGCTCAGCAAATAATGAACACATTACCGAAAAAGAAAAGGTAGGTGAAGAGATTAAGCCTGGACTGGGTAGGTTTTGCTAACACCTCTGCTGGCAGCTGGCCTGCCAAGCCCCTGGACAGCAAGACTGAGGGACAGCTCCGTGAACCTGCTTGGCCAGTGGAGACAACTCTGTTATCTAAAGCTGAGGCACATTTATACTACCTCATCCCATGGGGTGTGAAATTAGCAGCTATTGTTTCTACACATTTTTGCCAACACAATGCCTTTTATGTCTTTACATTGTTTATAAAGCTATGCTGTCTTGCACAAGGGAACCGTCTTTTTAATTCTAATTTTTTTAAGCAACAGGATAGTCTCTCCTGTCTCCCCCTCCCATTCCTTTCCTTATTCCTCTACAAAACTTATATTAATTTTTTACCGGACTCACATAACAGCATGATTTTTTTCTAATTAAAAAACAGTAAAACTTGGGACCAAGAGTGGTAGAGACACTTAAAATTCCTTGCAGTGGCCAATCTGAAGGTGGCCAAATCTGAGAGGCAGCAGCCAATAATCAGAGCTGTCCTGGTAGTTCCAATCAACAGCTTTCCAAATCTGAAAACATTGTCACCTCTTAATTCCAGTTTTTAAGTTTCCAGTAGTGGCTACACCTGCTATTACACAGGCAGCATCATCTCTCACCTGGGACACTGCTACAGCCTCCCAGCCAGTTCACACCTGGGACACTGCTACAGCCTCCCATCCAGTTCACACCTGGGACACTGCTACAGCCTCCCAGCCAGTTCACACCTGGGACACTGCTACAGCCTCCCAGCCAGTTCACACCTGGTGTGTCTTCAAATCAGACCTTTCTAAACTAAAAATCAGATCATATTGCTCCCCCTGATTAAAACCTCTAATGCTTAACCACGTCATGTAAAGGTAGATCCAAATACCTTTCCATGGTCTACACCATTCCACATAATCCAGCCTTCGCCTTGGCTTCCAAGGCGCTCTCTCACCACTCTCAGACCTCCCTCTTTCCAACCACACTGACCTTCTTTCTTCAGGCCCTTTACGGGTTCCGGCCTTATGGGATGCATGCTTACACACATCTCTTGGCTGGAATGCAGGCCATTCTGCCTCGTGAGACTGACTGGATTCACATACAGCACTTTAAAAAAATACCTTCTCTGGGCCCGGCGCAGTGACCTAGCAGCTAAAGTCCTCACCTTGCAAGCGCCAGGATCCCATATGGGTGCCAGTTCATACCCAGGTGGCCCTGCTTCCCATCCAGCTCCCTGCCTGTCGCCTGGGAAAGCAGTCGAGGACAATCCAAAGCCTGGGAACTCTGCATCCATACGGGACACCCAGAAGAATCTCCTGTCTTCAGATTGGCTCAGCTCTGGCTGCTGCAGCCACTTGGGGAGTAAGTCATTGGAGAAGATGTTCCTGTCTCTCTTCCTCTCTGTATATCTGACTTTCCAATAAAAAATATATCTTAAAAAAAAATACCCTCTCTGAAATTTCAGCTACACCTCAGCACGTTGTGAGGATGCTATACAAGATGACTGGATATAAGAAAAGCAGCATTCATATTGGAGAACATGTCTGAGATGTGGGAATTGACAAACAAGGATTTTAAGGCAGCCAATAAAATCCAAGGCTGTAAATAAAAACATTCCCATAACAGATAAACAAACAAGTTCCACAGAAAATAGAAACTGAAAAAATGTCCCAAGTGAAATTTGCAGAGCCAAAACAATGCAACAACTGCATCAAAAGCTGACTAGATTAAAAAACAGCCTAGATACAGCAGTAACAACTTGAAAACAGAAATCATATAATTGGAAAATAGACAGAAAAATTGAAAAGACACTAACAGCACCTCAATGCCAAAGGGTCTAGTAGTAAAACTGGAGTCAATAAAGAGAAGAGGACAGAAAAAAGAAAAAGATGTTTAAATAAAGCCTGAGAACTTCTCAAATCCAATGAAAGGCATAAATTTAGAGAAGTAGGAGGCAAGAAAAAAAAACACAGAAAACCACACCAAGGATGTCTTTAGAACTAAAGCAAAAAAAATATATATCAACAGCAGTCCAGTCTCTATTTCAGCGCTGATTTAAAGGCAACTCGTGATCGGAACACTGAAAAATGAAGCTTCCAAAGTTTTACTCACTTGCTACCCAACTGAAAGATACACATTCCTGCAAGCAAGACATCACCTGTAAGCTAAGACAAAACAGTCCTATTAATCAACTTTTACAATGTCCCCCAAAATGTTAGGGAACTGTTTATTGCTTGCTCTCTGTCTTACCACACTATAGAGAGAAAACAGACCTCTGCCTCACTCTTCCTCCTCACACACTCTGCACAAAGGTATAAACCAGGAACACAGTACGTGTTTAACACATACTCTGTTAATTGAATGAATGCTATTAAACTCACAATATTCAGAAAAAGAGTAAAGACCCAGTATAAGATCCAGTACAGGTAACACCAGTAACATATTTAAACGATCAATGCATCTTTTCTTTAAATTCCTAAGTATACATTATAAGTCACATGAAAAATGTTCATATTCCAAACATATGAGTATATAAACCTCTATTTTGTTCAAGTAGCTCTTATTTTATCTAAAATGAATACAAAGTTAACTTTTATTAAGGAATAAACTAGGACTAACATAATTACCTGTCCTGCCAATTCCAATCGCTTGTTACCGTAATAGTCTCTGTCATCAACCTTATTATCTCCTTGGGCCAGGATTACTCTTCGAACCATTACCGCAGTGTAGATACATTTAGCTCGGAAATTGAATTCCTTAACCTGTAATTCAAAGAAAAGAAAAGAACCAATGGTATCACACTTTAAAAGATACTAAATTATTGCCATTCTGTCATTATAGGTGGAGTCCACTGCCCCCTTGGTATTAGTTTGCCCAGTCAATTAATTCCAGGTCTACCCTTTGAGGTACATTTCAACGGAGTTTCCACTCCCTTCCTTTGAGTCCTCAGATACCATGCAAGTCCAGAATACTCCTTTGTGCAGAAAGGTACCAAGGGGTGAGACACGAGTGAAGCCATACTGGAGTTCCAGCCCAGCTGAGACTTGACATGACCCAGACTCAACTGCTCCCTGTTTGCAGCCTTAGGCGGGATCCAAAATGAGAACTTTGTCTTCCACCTTAGTGAAGCCCCATCATGCCTCAGAAACTTGAGCCACAATGAACAGTCAAGTCTTTCCATTTCTGCTGATTGTTAACACAGCCACAGCAGAAAGACTAGTTAGCATTGTCTGGCACACAACAATTATCTACTAGATGGATTGATGAATGAGTTTGCTGCTAACACTTTGTTAATCCTCTCTAGTACAAAGCCTCAAGTTCAGGAATTTGAATTAGAACCAGTAAATTAATCGCACTAGTTTATTTGGGGAGACAAAAACCCTAGCCAGATCCTTTTCCTACAATTACAAAAGATGAATTTTTAACATGTGGCCCAAGGATGACAATCTAAAGAAACATTTTAAGCTTTCACATGGCAGATACACACAATACTAGTAATATGGTTCCTTAATCACTTACAAAAACCCAATGATATCCTTTTTATTAAACTAACTGCAACAGACTACGTCATCAGTTCCTGGTCTAAAAGAACAACAGTAATACTTTTCTTTTATACTTTATGTGATTGTAGTTAAGAATTCCACTAAATAGCATCATGTCAGAATTCTGTATCTGTTTCCCAAGTTTATTTCCTGCAAACTGAATTCTGTTTCTTCTCTACATCAATTCATTCCCTTCTGTTACTGAGAACACTGGGTAATGTTCAATGGGTCTGAGAAGTGGGAAATGAAAAAATGTCACAAAAGCTACTGTCATCTTGTACCCTCCCCTCCCCCCCCCCCAAAAAAAACAGTAAGAAACATCTTTAAAAACAAAAAAAAGCCGCACAATCATTAACACCAATTACAACATCACCAAGCAGCAAGATCCTGGGCAGCTATAAATAACCTTATTTCAGCTGATATTCACAGTTGCGTGGCCCTCCCTTAGGGACATCTAGTGCTCAACTTACTTGATCTTAACGTAGCAATCACCTTGGTATCTACTTTTTTCTAGCTTAACTTACTTTTACTTTTCTTATTAATTAGAAAAACAAGGCAAATGTCCACTGATCAAAATTTCAGTTTTCAATAAAGTCCATTTTACATAAATACGGGTTTATTCTCCTAAGTCACGTATATGTAGAAATAAATATGGGCATGTACAGCAAACGTCCCTGTTGCTCTTTCTTTTAAGATTTTATTTATTTATTTTTTTATTGGCAAGTCAGAATTACAGAGAGAAGGAAAGACAGAGAGAAGGTTATTCCATCCACTGGCTCACTCACCAAGTGGCCAAAACAGCTGGAGCTAAGCTGATCTGAAGCCAGGAACAAGGAAGCTTCTTCCAGGTCTCCATGTAGGTGCAGGGTCCCAAAGCCTTGGGCCATCATCTACTGCTTTCCCAGACCCTAAGCAGGGAGCTGGATGGGAAGCAGAGCAGCCAGGACACAAACCAGTGGTCATATGGGGCCCTGGTGCATGCAAGGTGAGGATTTTAGCCAGTAGGCTACTGCATCGGGTCACCTTTTGCTCTTTAATAGGTAATTCAATTGTAACTAACTTGAGTGTCCAATCCCTGCTCTGCCCTGCCTCTCATACTACTAAATGCTGAAAAGCAAATCCTAGTTCTAAATTGAAATAATGAGTTAATACTTAGCACATTTTCCCAGGACTACTAACAGGGTTATACTGAGTGTGAGCACCTTGTCATCTAGTGGCTGGCATCACTTTTTGGTAGAATGCCAACAGTGGTTCACTATTGCCTTGTTGGATGCTAACCCATGGATTATTTGAAAGAGGAAGAGAAAGAAAACTAACAAATGAGATTGGAATGCTGAGACAGAATTGCTGTCACTTGAACTCTGGATATTTCTTAATAACATTTTGCAGCAAGTCAAAAAGAGCCCTGGAGTGCCCACTGAAGATCATCTTCCACTGTCAGTGATGTATTGATCCTCAGAGAGCGTTAGCTGTATCAACATTGCATGTTTTTTTTTTCCTGGTTTTCCTTTAAAATTATTGTTATTTTATATTCACTTATGAAAGTGCTAATGCATTTCATGATTCTGAAGGATAGGGATGGTATTTCATACATTTTTAAAATAAATTAAAAGAAGTTTACACTGGTTTTCAGTTATGTTTTTTGAAATCTGTAAAAACAGATAAAAGTTAACCATTTGAAATCTAGAGTTCCCACTTAGGACTACCCCATTCCAAAGTGGAGTGCCTGGATTAGAGTCCTGGCTCCACTTCTGAATCTGGCTTCTTGAAATCCACCAGGTTGGAGAACCAGATGATGGCTCAAACAGCGGGTCCCTGCCACCTATGTGGGAGACACAGACTAACTTCTGTTATTGCATGTAATGAAGTTTACTTTCCAAACTCCTGCCAGTGTAGAACCTGTGAAGCAGCAGGGATGGCTTAAATCATTGTGTCTGTGCCAGCCAGGCAGGAAACCCTGGTCCTGGCATGATCCCACTTGGACCCACCTATTGTAAGCATCTGGGAGAGCAGACTAGCAGGTGGGATCACACCCACAGCCTCCGGCTATCCATCTCTTTCCTTCCTGCGACCGCCCCAAACAAACAAATGAAATAATAAAATAAATTTAATGTTGAGATTTATTCATCAAACCAGCATTTTAAAAACATCTAGCAGAGTGACGGTTACCCAGTAATATGAGTGCACATAATGCCAGGAACTGTCTCCTGAGGAAACACAGAGTTTACACAAAGTAAACACTTTGCACAATTCTTTCACGCTCAGTCATTCACAACTACAAAGGCAATACTCACCGGTACGTGGGTGAGAATGGTCGAAGCCAGAAGTTCTCTTGCTTCCTCTATTTTGGTTTTCTTTGGTCCACCTCCCCACATTCTTTGCCTCCTAACTTTGTTCCCTATATATTTTAATGCCTGTTAAGAAAACATGATAATGGTGTTTGAATGACATCACTGGGGATAATTTATGAAGCACTTAACTATACACATGCTCTGAGAAAAGAAGATAAAAGACCCCAGTTATACACAAAATCATACTTGTCGTAAGCCAATGACAAAAGCATAACATAACCTGGTACCTAACAAAGTATTCCTTTTTATCTTTAAATTTATTCACATTATAAAGTTGATACCAGATCATTTTAGGAGTACTTGCTTTGGCAGCATTTATACTAAAATTGGAATGATCATTTCAGGAAATGTATAAAACACAAGCAAGTAAACCTGTGGCATTAATCCTTTGTGCAACACTTCTATGCTGAAAGCTACTGAACACTGGCAAGGAGAAAAACCTAAATAAGTTAGATGGTAAGACATTTTTTGTGGATTGGACTACTCAGCAGTATTGAAAGCAATTTACCTTTTAAATTCTCTCCAGACTGATCAATAAATTCACAATTGCTAGTGATGCTTAGCAGGCTTTTAAAAAATAAAAATAGACCTATTTTAAAATTTACCTATGGATGCAAAGGACTCAGAAATGCCGAAATAATACTGAAAAAAGAAAAGTTAAGAGTACTTACACTACCTGGTCTCAACTATAAAGCTACAGAAAGCACACAGAGTGACACTGGCTGACGGACAGACAACTAGACCAGTGGAAAGTCCAAAACTAAACTCGCTACAGTCCACTGATTTTTTACAAAAGTGTGAAACAATTCAACAAGGAAGGGAGTGCTTTCAAGAAACAGCACTGAAACAATAAATATTTACAAGAAAAAAAAAACTGTGACTTCTACACTTGACAGCAAATGGAAACATGACTTTAAGGTGGATGTTAGACCTAAAGGTGGAAACTAAAACTATAAAGCTCCCATTAGAAAAAAAAATTATTTGAACAGAAAACACCCATAAAAGATAAAAGAAAAAAAACCCCCTCTAGACAACTAGATTATTTTCAGAATCAGAAAACACAACTAAGAAGAACATCTGCAGTGCATCAATCCATCAGGTTAACATCCGGGACTCGTTTCAAAGGAAAAGAATAAAATACAAATAGTCCACACATCCAAAAAAAAAAAAAGTTTACCAGCAATGCGGTCAGGAAAATTAAAATTAAAAGCTAAGTTAGCTATCCTTGTATACCCACTAGGAAAGCTAAAATTAAAAAGACTGACAACACCATGTCTTGTGAGGACACAAAGCATCCAGAACTCTCAGACGTAACTAATGGGAAAGCAAACGGCACCATCAGTCTGGGAAAAATCATACACAAGAGTAGATAAACAATTACTCTCTGATCTAGTAATCCTAGGAATTTATCCAGTGTAAATGAAAATACGTCCACACAAAGATGCTCTTATATCAGCTTTATTCATAATACCAAATGACCAAAAGGGAAAAAAAGTTGATCAATAGGAAAGTGGATAAACTAAAGTGTTTCCATGCATTAGAACACAAAGGTGCAATATCCACCAGGATGAGCAGGAACTGGGGACAAGCCAGGCTGGCCCAGGCTATAGCACCCATGGGCAAGTGCCGAGGTGAGACAGGCCATGCCAGACTGGACTGCAGCACCCAGCACATGTAAGATTCCAATCCCCAGAAAGGGATGGAGGGAGTGAGCCTGGTAGCAGGGCAGTGAGAATTCCCATGCTGAGTCACTACTCCCACTGGTGAGCATAATTGGGACTGGGGAAAGACCAGGCTGGGCAGGGCTACAACACTTATTGGTCTGCATGTGAGCCGTGTCTAAGGGCAGAGCCAGGCTGGGTTAAGTGACTATCTACTGGTGCATGCATGAGCCAGAAATAGTGCTGGCTGGTCTGGCTTTGCCGCAGCATCAGCTGCCAAGTGCTGAGATCGGGGACAAGTCCTGTCAAGTAAGACTGCTAAATACCTGGAAAGTGCAAGACTGAGAGGAGGGGACCTAGCAGGGAAACTATGTGAGCATTAGAAGTAGAGCTGGGGGTAGACCCGGCTGGACAGGCAGTATCACCTGCCAGCAGAAGTATGGGCTGGACAGTGGGTGAGTTGGGCTGAGCTAGGCTGCAGCCCCACTGGTGTATACAAGAACCAAACAGGATGCAGGGCCCACTGGACCAGTCTGTTGCACACACTCAGGAACCAGGGCAGAAGGCAGGCCTAGTGAGGGTTACTGGGGGTCGCTCCGACGGGCTGCAATTCCCACTGCTGCGCTTGCAGGCTGAGTATGTGGTGGGCAAGGCTGGGCTGGGTCACAGCATCCTTTTTTTTTTTTTTTTCGCATAAAAAATGGGGCTGGAGACAGAACTCAACTAGCAACTGCAACCACTAGTGTGTATATATGCTGATGTAGGTGATGAACTGGGCCAGACCCCACACTGGCTGGCACACATGGGAGTCAGGTCTGGGATCACCTCACACAAGGTTTCTTTGAGGACCCCCACACCTACACCATTGGACTCAGAACTCCAACCATGGGGAGAATTACAGGATCTGTGGTTTGACCATGGAGTACATGTGTCAAAACGGGGCCTCCTCAGTTGCTAAACATGATGCAGTGGACACCATGCCCAGATGCACAAGGGGGATATGGCAATCCATTGGGGCCTGCAGAGAACATAATGGGAATATTCTAAATCTTAATACAAGTTAACATCTGTACTTTTAAGTGTATGTATATACACTTTTTTTAACTTAAAGAATGTATTGCCAAGAGATAATCACTACTTGGTGATTTATAATAGTGTCTATAAATTAAATGTAGAAACTAAAAGACCCCAACCATAACATATTGTACATGTACTGACCTGGAAAATGCTAAAAATGTTTTAACCATAATTCAGGGAATGTATATAGCATGTGTTTAATCCTCAGATTTCTTTGTTTTAAACAAGTTTTCTGGGGAATTCACATAACTACCTATCTGTGATGAAGAAGTTTGATTTTCGAAAAATACAACAAGAGCACTTTCAGCAATTACAAAGGAGCTTCAGAATCCAGGCACTCTCATGTTAGGGTTTTCTGACCAGTGATGATATTTACAATCCTTGAAGCTACTGGGGTATAATTCAGGTTAACTGCACTGCCAGGGAACTAGTCAATTTTATACTGCCCTAAACTAAATTTGAACTGATCATTCCCATTCAAAAACATTTCTGACATTTCTTAATGCGTTTTCTTCACATTCTTAGAATCCTTAACATCATCACCTCAGCTGGTAACAAAAATTCATGCCTACCAAATATTCCACTTTCAGTAAAGGCCAGGAATATAAGCCTCTAGATCCAAACAATTCATCCTGGTGCTGTCTGCCCATTGACTGGACTTGACTGCTAACTAACCATAGAGTAGGAGAATGGCAGTGATGGGAATAATTCCTTTTGATCTGCGTTCCAGAATGACACATGCCTACACAAGAGAGTTCACCTAAACAACTAGCTTAAGCTACGAAAATACCAAGACCGATCTGATTTGGTGACATACACTAACAGACACAAGTGGGACATACTGTCTTCACAAGCATCCTGGGTAACAAGGTAAAAGCAGCCTGTAAGTTCTACCTTGGCAGAACAGGAGTACCATGGTAAGCCCATTAGCTACTGAGGTTCTACTGTAGGAAATGCCTACCTCCCAGGACAGCCATGTGCAATCTTGCCACTGATCTATATTCAGCAAACTACAAATAGGAGACTAAAAGCTCTAAGTGAGGCTACCAGAGCTCCCTCCCGTGTGGGAGGGGAAATACATTATCCACTTTATATTTAGCACATAGAGCACTTCCTGTCTTCATCCTGAGTCTTGCACTTAAAGTCCCCAGGCTCCAACCCAAAATGCCTGGTCAGATCAAGGAAAAGATTGCTGTGGTGAGGGAGGTTGCTGTTGCACACTTCAAGCTAACTGAAATGCCAGGGGCATTCAGGGAAAGAGATGGAGACTAGGCTGGAGATCTAGAGCACCTCAGACTAGGGAATTACAAGGATTAGCAAGGGACATGCGTGCAAAAATAGATTTGAAAAAATACATATATCAAACAGGCAAACAAAGGGGAAAATTATTTGCTAGTATATTAAGACATTAAGCTCTTGTCTGTATATCCCAATTTAATTTAAAAGACAACACACGTCAATAAGATGAACAGGCAAACCCCTTCCTTCAATTCTTAGCAGGAGGCAAAGAAACTTCTCTACCCTTCTCCCACTTCCCCCATACCCTTCCCAGATCAATAACCATCAGAGCCACAGCATCTGATGTCTTATCAGCGAGCAGCACTGAATCTCCGATTCCATTTCACTGCACAGGACAGCATGAAAAGACACACCTGCATCTGTGTGAAAATCTGAGCTTTCTGGCACTCTTCCAGACTGGGCCCGAACGCAGCCATGACGTGCTCCTCCGTCCCGATCATCTGCACGATCTCCTGGTCGCTCTCCACGCCCATGGCCTAGGAAGGAAAGAAAAGACAGAGAGCGTGGGCTTTGTGTTAACTCACTGACATTTACTTATGCTAATTTGGCATTGTTTGTGGGTATTACTTCTAAGCAAAAGCGAGCTCTTCTCTCAGAAACCGTGCCATCTGGCACCGGCAGCAGCAGGCCAAACTGCAGGAGAACCCGGAACAAATTTTAGTCAGGAAGAGGACATTCTGCAGCGTGTGTGTGTGTGTGTGTGTGTGTGTGTGTGTGTGTGTGTACACTATCTCCTCCAACTTTTAAAGAGTCTGGGAGTTTCATCAAGAGAAGAAAGAGGCCAGGAAGTGCATCTGAGACAACGGACAACCTGCAAAGAGAAAGAGCCCAAATGGCAGTGAGTCAAACACTATGTGTTGCTGAAAAGAAACAGAACCCTGGCCAGTTTTGTACCCGATTCATTTTTTCTGGGAACTGTCAAGTCATCTGTATTCAAGCTAAAAGAATTTCCCCTAAAAAAAATATCTTTTATTTTACTGATCTAGAGATAGCAAGTCATATTCTATGCAGGTTTGAATTTTAAAAACTAAGAACGCACCGGTGGCTGCAGCCACATAGGTCTCTGCAGACGTCAAATGGTCCAAAAGCTCACCCTTTCCCACGTCTTCCTGGAACACAGGTAAGTGGGGAAACACGGCATCCATCATCTCACCAGATCACCAGCACAGCCATGATCTGCTTCTCAGAAGTCAGGAGGAAGCTCACGTTGGCACTCAAATCCTTCCTCCAGAACCAGAAGCCCACTGACCAGTGATGCTTTCATGTTCCAGTTCTTAGCTCTCCTCTACACATAAGAGCAAATACGGAATCTCAAGCTCCAATGCGCAACATCAGGACAGTTGGAAGGACACTGCTCTAACAGCCAAGCAATCTGAGGTGCTCATCCTAATACAGTGCCAACAATGGACCGCTATGTTGCCACTGCTGCTTATGCCGCTCAGTCCCCAAATGGCAATGGCCAGGGCTGGGTCAGGGCAAAGCCAGAGGTTTCACCTGGATCTCCCACGTGCGAGCAGGGATCCAAGCACTTGGCCTATCTTCCATTATTTTCCAGGCCCAATAGCAAAGAGCTGGATAGGAAGTGGAACAGGTGGAACTTGAACTAGTACTCACTGGGAATGCTGGTGACGCAGTTACAGCTTAACGTGCTATACTACAATGCCAGTCCCTGTACCAGTTCTTGGAATGCTCACAAATTCTTCGCCACTCCCTACGAGAGGTGGAGGTAAACTCCCCCCCTAAGTAAAGCTGAAACAGCGTGTACAATGTTGGAGACTTGGTCACAGGAGACACTGTAGCTTTCAGCTTGCTCTCTGTGTCACAGAGCTCATTCTGGGGAAGTCAGCTGCCACTTCACCACACACACACACACCATCTACAGGATGACAGTCCTGCAGTGCCAGCTTCTCCCCTGCTCTCTGTGTCACGGTGCTCGCTCTGGACGTCAGCTGCCACTTCACAGGCACACAGTTTACAGGATGATGGCCCAGTAATAAGGCATTGTAGTTTCTTATTATTAAAAGCACAAATTTGAAGACAACGCCTTGGCCCATCAGGAAAAGCCACGGTCTTGCAGTACTGGCATCTCTTACGGACGCTGGTTCAAGTCCCAGCTTGATCCACCTCACTGCTAATGTGCCTAGGACATCAGTGGAGGATGGCATAAATCTTTGGGCCCCTGCACATGTGGGACACCCAAATGAAGCTCCAGGTTCCTGGCCTTAGGCCTGGATATTTGGGGAATGAATCAGGAGATAAAGATATCTCACTCTCTCTCTCACTCTCTCTCTCTCCCTCTCCCTGTCACTCTGCCTTGCAAATTACCAAGTCTTTAAAAGAAAAAAGAACAAAAAGGACTGACTTTAAGAACTAGTTAACTGGGCCCAGCACGGTAGCCAGGTGGCTAAATTCTAGCCTTGTATGCACTGGAATCCCATCTGGGCACAGGTTCATACGTAGCCCGGTTGCTCCACTTCCACCAAGCTCTCTTACCAGTGGCTTGGGAAAGCAGCAGAGGACGGCTCAAAGTCTTGGGACCCTGCACCCACGTGGGACATCAGGAAAATGCTCCAGTTTTCCTGGCTTTGGATTGGCTCAGCTCTGGCCATTGCAGCCACTTGGGGAGTAAACCAGCAGATGGAAGATCTTTCCCTCCTACTCTCTGTACAGCTGCCTTTCCAATAAAAATAAATCTTAAAAAACAAACAAAAAATAAAACAGAGCCCAGCGCAGTAGCCTAGTGGCTAAAGTCTTCGCCTAGCCTGTGCCAGGATCACATATGGAAACTGGTTCTAATCCTGGTAGCTCCGCTTCCCATCCAGCTCCCTGCTTGTGGCTTAAGTTGCAGTTGAGGATGGCCCAAAGCCTGGGACCCTGCATCTGCGCTGGAGACCCGGAAGAGCTCCTGGCTCCCAGTTTCGGATTGGCTCAGCTCCAGCTGTTGTGGCCGTTTGGGGAGTGAACCAACAGACAGAAGATGTTCCTCTCTGTCTCTCCTCCTCTCTGTATAGCTGACTTTCCAATAAAAAAAAAAAAAACTTTAAAAAAAAAACGAGTAGACTTAAAACTGTTTTACACACACACACACACACACATAGAGGCACATGGTCCTTAAGCCTTCCCTTTCCTCCGGAAGGTTTTACAACGCTTTGGATCATGAGCCAGTCTTCAACAACTAAACTTAAACCGCTGTTGAGACCCCAAGTTCTGAGATCTTCCACCAGGCTCAGAAGGCGCAGCAAGGCTTAGGGACGGATTTGGTGACCCTGGCACTTGCAGCAGCCTTCCGGTCCACTGCTCCAGACACTCACAGTGACTCCCTTACGTCCCAACAGCAAAGCAGCTCAGAGGAGAGCCCAGAGTCTATCTCCACACACAGGCTTGCTGGGCACCATGTCCACAGGACCGACTTCCTGCTCCTCACCTGAGTGCCAATCCATTTCCTTCAGTCTACCAAATTTGCAAGTAGTGGAAGCTGTGTGACAACGTGGCACAAAGACAAAGCAGCAATGACTTAGCCTGGATGGCTAGGATGACCCCCTGAACAGGGAAGCCAGCAGCTGCTCCTATTGCTGCCACAACAAACACCTTTGGCAGACATGATCTTGATGTTGAAGCCCCACAGTCTGCAAGAAGAGGTTCATGGTGCATTTGAAGACTCTAGATCAACTGTGATGCTGGCAGAGCAAAGGTGAACACTATATGCCAGCCCCGAGAACAGCCATTCCCGCCTGCCCACAGGGAGAACATCAACACCACCTGATCTGGCTATTCCAGAAGGGCAGCTGAGGGGCCGACAGGTGGACAAGTGGGCAGGGTGTCACACAATGTAGCTGCACTGACTTTGCCATCTTTATCGGTAACTTTCTCTTCTCTGAACCAAAGCCACCAGAAATTGGCACAAACGCTCATGCACCATGGTTGCAACTATTTTCTTAACTCAGATGCACACTTTCTTAAAACTCTTCCTCGAATCTCCTCTGGCGGTAGGGTACCCCCGTGGAATTCTCTTTAAAGACTTATTTATTTGAAAGCCACAAAGAGACAGTCACGAGATTTTTCATTTGCAGGCTCACTTTAGCCCTTGGTTTGCTGGCCGGGACAAAGCCAGGAGCCAGGAGCTTCAGCAAGGTCTTCCACACAGATGGCAGGGATCCAAGCACGTGGGCCCTCTTCGGCTGCCTTTCCCAAGCCATTATCAGGGAGCTAGAGTAGAAGTAGAGCAGCTGAGACACAAATTGGAACCCATAGAGGATGCAAGAGTAGCAAGCTTTATCCATGATGGCACAAGGCAAGCCCCTGGAATCCCTTTTTAAAAATTTTGGCCACTAATAATTTTTTTTAACTGGGTATTTAAGCCTGAAGGGCATGCTCACATTCTGACCATTCTTGGAAATGCCAGCTATAAACTCAGGATCCTAGCATCAACAACACAGGTGGCAGAGTTGGGGAGTGGGGGATGCGTCTATCAGCAGATTTTAAAGGAAGTCGCTGCGCCCTGGGACATAAGGATGATCACTAGTGCCTGTGTGTTTTTAACTATCAATGGTGATAACAGGCTTACACTCAGCTCTCAGTTTATCCAAGACTCAGAAGTACACCTGAAAGAGCCCCTGCCCATCTCAGCAGCCTTCGTCTTAACTTTCCTATGGTTTCATCAATCTCATCATATTCGTACATCAGATAGCCAGTAGTGGTGGACTTGCCCAAGTCTATATGACCACTAAATCTGATGCCGGTGCATCTTCCTCTGCTATGGCGGCTTTGATTCTGCAGTGCTTTTCAGGGCACCTGTGTTCTGGCACAAAACTTAATACAAAAGCACTTCTGTTATTTCCCACTAACTGCCATGTGCTGGGTCATCATGCAAGAGGCCTCCAGCTGGAGTTCAGCCTTCAGATGACTGACATCTTGATGTAAATCACTCAGCAAAGCAACTCCCAAATTCCTGACCAACAGAGATGGTGACATAATTGGTTGTACGGTACAGATAACTGATATGCCAATTTATGGAATTAAATGATTTCAACTTAAAAGCTTTTCAAGTGCATAACTGGATTAGCAAATGAAGTTCTCAGCACACAAACTTCCCCCCCTTTTTTTGAAATTTCCATTTTTGTAGTCATTTTACTTCTATTTTGACATGACACACCTATGTAAAAGGACCATCATGGTGTAGGCATTTGGCACACAGTTAAGATGCCTCATGGGACACCCACACCCAACACATTCTAACCCAGTTGCCTGTACACCCTTGGAGGAAAAGGGGGGATGCTTTAAGTAGTTGGGTACTTGCCACCTATGTGGGAATGCTGATTAAGTTCTGGGCTGCTGGCTTCAGGCAGACTCAGTCTGTCTTATGGATATTTGGGAAGTCAACCAGTGGATGGACGATCGCTGTTTCTTTTTTTGCCTTTCAAACAGACAGAAGTAAATTTAAAATTCAAAATAATACTGTTAAATAATAACAAACTCA